ACCAATAACAGATGCATGAGTAAAAGAATAGAATGAAAACCCTCAATAAAATCAGATAAAGAGCAAACTATTTTAGAGTAAAGAATGACAATAAGAGCAACATATTGTTGACAAAATATGATAAGTAAAACAACATAAATCTTAAATAATCCGGGCAACATCAAAGCTTACTAAATCACTATAATCAGTTACTTAATACATGGTAACAATAAAAGAAAAATACTACATCATTACCAAATGAGAAGTCACTTTAGACAGACAACAGAGTATTGACAGATTAATATAACAAATAGAATAGAAACCTAAATTTTACTCAAATAACAATAACTTATATAATATAAACACTAAACAATATTTTACAAACAATATTGACAAACTTAATACAAACATAATCATAATAACATAAAACAGTGAGCACATATATTAACAACTCAATATATACACTTAAGAAATCATAGTAATATAATACATACAAATTTAAGAGCAGTTCGAAATAACGTGAAAGAAGTACCTTAGAGCAATAACAAAAGTGGATAGAGTCGATGCAGAAGAAGTAAAAAAACTCCAAAACGTAGACAACCGAAAATAAAAAAAAAACTCACTATTGAAAACTGAAGAAAAGAAAGGAAACAAAGAAGATAGGATGTAATTGTATGACAACGAAAACAGAAACAAAGTGAAAGGCAATAAGCATGAAAGAGAAAACAATATATTTATACAAAGAAGAAAACTTTTAAGCATGTGGCGGTAGCAAATTCTGCAAACAAAACTTAATACATGTAATAATGAGTTGAAAACAGGTGTTACGCTGAATGATAACTACAGCAAAACAGAACGAATACCTGCAGACAGTTGAAAAAAATTAATCCGTTAGAAAAAATTACACTGGACTAAAAACTAATGTCTAAATATTCGCGACTAATATAACCTGCAAACAAATATGAAAATATGTAATAATTAGTAAAAACAGGTGTTACACAACATGATAACCAACAAGAAACAGAACCAATGAACATAATACAGTAAAAAAACTACAGATCCATTATAGAAAATTAGAGGATAAGGAAGAACACATAGAGAAACAAATAAGGAAAACGATAATAGAACATCAAATGTGCAGAGAAAAAAAAATATGAACAAAGAACAGATGAAAAAACAACCGAAATAGAGAAAAGAGGAACAAACTAAAAGAAAAATGGATTATTTCTAAGACCTAAACGACCAAACACAAAAAAGAAAGAGAATAAAGAAAGGAAAAAAAAAAGAGATAACAACCCCAATATGAAATAAGACTAAAAAAATTTGACAGAACAAAATCTTAAAAAATCGACAGAAAAAAAACATGGAATCTATTCTAAACGATAACAAAAAAAGAGGAGAAAAAAGGGAAAATGAAACCCTAATATAAAATAAGAGGGAAAAAAATTGACACAACAAAATCTTAAAGAATCTAAAAGAAAAAAAAAACAACAGAGAAACCAAGAACAACAAAAGAAGGAAACAACAAGAAACATAGGCCAAAATTATTCCTAAAAAAAACCATCCAGAAAGCAAGAAGACGCATAATAAAAAAATCAGAAAAACAAAAAAAACAAAAAAAAAAGGGTAGAATAAAAGAACAAAACGACAAAACTAAAAAAATAACAAAAAAAGAAAAAAAAGGGAAAAACTATTCATCGAAAAAAATTAATAAAAAAAATTCTAAAATTACAGAAATGAAAACACAAAACGAAGAACATATCAAAACAAATTATACAATACTACTAAAACAAAACAAATCTGGAAATAAAAAATGAAAAAAAACAGATAACATTAACAAATAATAGATTTGAAAATAAAAACACTAACAGATAACAAATCTGGAAAAATGAAAAAAAAACTGAATAAAAAAATAGAAGAAAAAACGAAGCCAAATCCAAGGAAAGAGAAATGAAAAACAAAACAAAAAAATGAAACAAACATAAAAAATGAATCCCAAAAGCCTCACGAAAAGGAAGAAAGAGAGAAAGAAAAAAAAGAAATGCATAGAAATGACCAAATCCAGAAGCTTAATGGAAAGAAACGGAGAGAAAACCAAACAAACAAAAAAATTAATCCCAGAAGCCTCACGAAAAGGAAGAGAGGGAAGGAAAAAAAATGGACATAAATGAAGAAGTCGAGAACTCTCGCAGTGAGAAAAGAAAGCCAAGCCAAACATTTAAGTGCAGAAACTTCAGTGAGGCTCTATTTCGAAGGATAAGACAAAAAATACCCAAACAGAAACCAAAGCAGAAATAAGCAACCAAGAATAAAATGGGAAAAATAAAAATTTAGAACACATCCGGAAGTTTTCCAAAGCAAAAAGAAAGGAAGGACCATGCACTGTTTTAAGAACAGTAACCCGGATGCCTCTTTTAGTAGTATGTATAATATATGAAAATTCAGACGAGAACTGTTTTTTTTTTTTCCTTCAATTAGACAAGATTATGGTTCTTTCCAAGTAAAAAAAAAATACAAAAAAAAAAACGACATGATTGTGTAAAGACAAAAAAATGCAAAGTGATATGCGTTGCAAGAAAAGAAATTCGGCTAAGCCCAGTTTATAAGCGGACCATATTTTGAAGCCCATAACCGAAGCTGAGTGTCAAAAAAGACCAAAGCACCAAAGACGACCATTTGACCAGTTAGGGAAAGTGTCGAGAGATAATTACGTTTTGTGCCGGGGAAAAGGGAAGGGGATTGACATCTGCGAGAAGGCGTAAAACCCTTACCAAATCTGCCAAATTTGTGAGTGAATATTTAGTTCATAAATTCAGAATCATGAGTCAGAATTATTCTCAATTTACGTGTATTTTTTGTGAGAAAAAATACTGTAACAAGTCACGAATCATGATTTGAACCATGACACGAATCCTCATACTAAATTACCCCTTAAAAATTCAATTTGTGTACAATTTTTCCCCTACATATTTGAACAAATTTCTATGTACCTCCTAGGGCTTTCCCCCATTCTCTCCTCGTCCCTCTTTCTTCCTCCATCTCTTTCTTCTCTCTCTTTCTTTTTCTCACTGCCCCAGCCGTCGTCACAACCTTCCCTGTCGACGCCGATGCCGCTATCCTGAGGGACGTCAATGGGTTGTCGACTCTGTGCTCTCACTCTCATCATTAAATCCTCCACGACCTCCGGCTTATGAGAGAACACGACATTCTTCCACCGCATAGTTGTGTTGTTGGGGACCTCGCCAGTGAGATCTCCTTCGTTTATAGATCCTAAAGAACGACCTCTTTGCCGGTAATATTGTTGGCAGATCCTCCTCCAACGACGAGCCTTGTCACGCTACAACCACCGTGCGAATCCTCTTTTGGTGAGATCTTGAATGTTGCAAGATTCACGTTCAAATCTCCATTGCTCTGCTTGACGATCACTCCTCACAACCTCGTCGCCACTTTGGACGTCGCTGCCAAGGAAGATGAAGATCAATCGGCGCAACAGAATACAAATGAATTTCTAAACAGTTTGCGCGAACTAAATGATTTAAAACATAATAAAAATCAGAATTTAAACAAGAATATATAGAATATATAGTGGTTCACTCTCAATTCGAGAGCTACGTCTATTGCGGAGATAAGAGAAATTTCACTGTATTTAGAGGAATTACACGCACTAATGCTCAAAATCAGACTTAATCATTTTCTGACTCATAATTCCTTTTTTATAACTTAAGTCACTGCCTATAAACTTTTCCTATATAAATTTGAGTTATTTCTTTTATTTTTTGGAGTAGTTTCTTAAAAGATGGAGATTACAATCAACCAGGATGGTTTTTTTATTTAAATTTAATATATTTGGTTTACTAATAGTAAATCTCCGTGCAAGTTTCGCGGATCTCATCTCTTGCGTAGTCTCGACTTCGTAAACACTTTCAGAAGTTTCTTCGCCTACAATTGTGGGTGTGATCGGCTTCATATTGTCCTTTGCATTCTTTCAGAGCAGTCAACCTCCCTCATATGCCTGACATTTCTTTCTAGCGGTCGACTTCTAAGAGAGTTGTCCACTGACGTGGCAGTTAGAGTTAAGCTGTCATTGATCATTTAATACTCTTATTTATGACGTGTAGATCCCATACAAGGTTTAATTTAAGGTTCTTCGTTTTACCCTAAAACTGTTTGTATTTTTTGTGTTTTGTAAGTGATGTTTGTGGTTTTGTGTGATTATAGTGAAATTTGTTATTTTTGAAGTGTGTTGACGGAAAAATGCAAATTTTTGTTAATTATTGTGGATGTTTTGTTTGTTTTTGTGATTTTAATTTTTTGTGTGATTTAGTTTTTTGATGACACCGATTTTCTACAGATTTGGGTGGTTATCAGTCGGTGAATTGATGGTTATTGATTGGTAGCTGGTATCTTGACTGATACCAATCAATATCTTGACCAAATACTAATGGCTCGGTTGGCGCCGGTGATTAGTAGCTGCCGGCAACTACTGCCACCAATACTGGTGGTTGTTTGTCAGATACTGCCTAGTATCTCAATTAGATACCAATTTTTGAATGCTGATACCGGCGAGTATATCAGTTAAATACTTATATTATAACTAGAGACTTATTAGTATCTTAAAAATGTATTTAATATTCTAAACATAGTGCGATAACATACATCATTGTGTTATTCTTTATAATAATTTATATATCTTAACATACGTCAATCTAAGTCTATCTTGTGGCAGTTTTCTTTGTGTCAAACTGAGGAGTTGTTTGGTTGAGAGATTCGTATCCTAATTTAAATTATGATTCGTAATTTCTTATAATATTTTCTCTCATAAAAAATACATGAAAATAAAAAATAATTCTAATATTATGATTCTAATTCATGAAATCATGACTTCTCTTTAAAACCCAAGTGTCAAACAGACGCAACAGCACAAGTGAAGTGACCAGACCAACCAGTGAGAAAAGTGGCGCGGTCTTGAACAGTATAAATACTAGAACCGGCACTTTCAGTGGCGGGCTGTCTGCGATTTCGAAATCGCGAGGGAAGAGAGAGAAGATAGAAAGAGAAAGGAAAGAAAAGAGGGCATGAGGTCATGGCGACCTTGTCGAGCCTGGTGCACGACCTCCGAGAACGCATTGCGGCTTCCTCATCCACTCCTACTTCTAATGCCGACGATCACGCTCTCGAGACCAGATTCCGAGCCGTCCTTCCCAATCTCCTCCACGCCTATGTCGTTCCCTCCCCCTCTGGTTATCTCTCTCTCTTTAAACTTGGCTGGCTTTGTGTTTGGTTCTCGAGAAAATTCGAAAAGGATTATAAGATTGTGAACAAACCGATTCTTTCGATAATTTCTGTCACGCGTTGCGTTTATTGAATATTGAAAATCGTTGTAATCTCATTTTGCGTTGTTATGTGTTTGGTTCGTTAGGGTTTTCAGTCTTTGCGATTATGAGTCAAATTTTCTACTGAAATAGGAAAGTCAACAAGTGGGAAGCTCAAGTTTTTCTTTCTTTCAAGTTTTATTACATGTGTATGTTGGAATCGGGAATCGTATATTTAAGGAATGTATTTGATGCAAAAACATTTGGCATTCCCGTCAGCATTCCTGTCAGATATTGATATAAAAGTCTTTTATTTATGCGCAGCCAATGAGAGAGAAGTGATAGCTGTGTTGAAGCTCATTTCTCACATTGCAAAGAATTTTCCTGGGGTCTTTTACCATGGGAAGGCCAGCGCTATTTTACCCATCGTTGGCCGGATATTGCCTTTCTTTGCGGAACCCATGTTTCGGTAATTGAATTAAAAACTTGTAATTTCTAAATATCTATATATATGCGGGCGCACACGCACATTGTTGCAAGTTAGAGACGATCTTTTTCTGTTCTTACAACTGCCCGTTGGAGAGTAATATCTTTCATTTCAGTTCTCAGCACAGTGTAATTCTTGAAACTGTCGGATCACTTTTGTCTTTGCTCCGCACCGGAACACGAGACGCCTACCGTTTGTTTTTTGCTGATGCCATGCTAGTTGTTGAAGGTAAGAAAGAACTTGATGATCGATTGGTTTTCATCTAGGAGGTATAATTTTTGCTTTGCCTATTGTCTAGATTCTAGAAAACTAAAAGTTGCATCCTTTTTTTCCTTTATTTCTTTCTAGTTTGACTATTGCACTTCAACACTGGAAACGCGCTCAGGACAGTCCCAATCTCAACACAATTTCATCTTTTAGCTGCAATATAAATAACGAATCTCAAAATTTTCATGCTGCTTGTACTATTTCTCTACGAGGCATAAAGCTAATATGCCTCTTTTTTTTTTTTTTTTCCCTTCTTCCCCACAGATCTTTTCTATGTGGCATCGGGCTGTACTGCCTGTGCAAGCACTGCTGAACACACTAAATTAACTTTAAGGTGTTTCTGTAAGTCGTTTAATGGGGTTTTCAATGATCCCACTCATATTGGCGATCTCCCAGTGGGTAACAAACCAGCAGATGGCATTGGAATTTTGATTAATCTTACAGGAAAAGCAAGGTGGCAACCTTTTGCTACTTGGATGATTAGGCTTCTTGCTAAGTGTCTAACGGAAGGAATCTGTGTGGAAGGACTAATTAATGTACCATTTGTCATTTCTGCATGTTCTCTCTTATGCTATGGGGATGCAGATTTGCAGATGGTAAGTGACAATTTCTTTATGTTAGCATTTTGATCTACTAATTGTTACCATATGCTTGTTTATACTTTTTTTTATTACCATTTTTTCCTGGTTTATTATAAACATATTTGATTTGCATATTTGCAGTTTTTTGACCACTTAGAATTTTGTTGAAGGCATGTTTTGACTTTGCAAGCATCATTGCATCAGCGGTAAATTTTGACATTGTTCCACATCAGAATATGATCCTGTCGATATCCACTATATTAACTGAGGACAAAGAGGGGCTTCCTGTATTTAGGTATGCAATTGGATTTCTGAGATATTGATGCTCTTTCTAATGTCGTACCAAGTTGTAGTAAGATGTGCTACTGCACTGTGAAAAATACTAAATCCGGTGATAATTAAAGCAAATTTGTTTGCTATAGTACTTATGATGCATTTTAGGAAGTCTAAATTCTATTCCTTTGTCACCTTTGCCTTTCTCTGGGAATATGGTTGGCTTTTGGGGGGTGAAATTGATACATTTAAGTTTTTCTACTTCAGTGTTTAGATGATAATGACATCCTGCATAGGTCTAGAATTTTATGCAAGCATACATGCATGCGTAAATATGCATACATGTACGTGCATACGCGTACTGTTTCTAATTACTCTTCTAAATTATTGATGTTCTAAGATTTATCAACATCTAGATCTTCTTACATTTAAACTTCTGTTTCACCTACTTTTCAATTCCATGGTTGGCAAATATTTAGATTTATATATTCTATTTACCATTGTGAACTATCTCCATAGATTTTTTTTTTTTTTTTTTTAATTATTTGTTTTGAGATGAATATCACTTACCTTGTGTTCAGGGTTCTGAAAAGGAGTCCATTTGAAAAGTAATATTTACTATTTTTTTTTTCTGAGTATGCTAACAATTTTGTTGTACTGCAGAAACATAGTTTATGATTCGTCGTTGGGTGGTTGCTTAAAAGCATTACACTCTGGTTGCTCTGATGTTGTTGTCAAGCTAACAGCTGCTGATTTGGTAAATGTGTTTCCTCAATCCATGAGGAGAACCAAAAGCGTGGAGCTTAAGGTTAATGATCCATCCATCGTCATTGAGCTAGCTGATAGGTCTGAGGGTGATTTGTTGTCAGATCTAAAAAACAAATTTCTTTTTTCAGGTCGCATTATGCAGTGCATATGTTCGAATTGCAAAAAGTTGTTCTCCTCATATATGGAGACCACAATTGCTTATTTATGTTCTTTCTGTTCCAGAGCCCTGCTTCCCACTGATAGATTGTTTTCAAGTAGCTATTTCTGTACTTGGTCCTGATCGTGTTGGAGGGAAAATGACAACTTGTAAAAATGTAGAGTTGTTAATGGTGGGTGATGGGTCAGTTGGAAATTCAAGGGTCGGGGAAAAGAGACCTCTTCAGGATGTGGAGGCTTGCGAGAGCAAACGACAAAAGGTAGACGTGGGAACCATGGCTTCTGACGCTGGTGACCAGATGGAGCAAATGTATAGTCATGTAGTTGCTTGTGAAAGCGAAGAAGACTATGCAAATTATATGCATACATCACTTCTTTCTCTTGTTGAAATTTTAAAATCTCCTGCCGTCAGTCCTGATTCTTTAAGACCAGATATTGCATTAACAGCTCTTAGCACGCTTTGCATTGCCTTCTGTAGATATCCAGAGACCAATATGGCATCTAGAATCTTTCAGCAGATGTATTCATGGATACCTTGGATATTGGAACAGGTATCTAGTTTTTGAATAGTATTTTTTTTTTAATAAAAAAAAACTCTCATTTTCGCCTTCAGGCAACCTAAACATGTGTTTACATATGCAGGCAAAACTAGAAAGCCCAATCAGACTTGATTTTTCTATCTTTCTTGAAGGAATACACAGCATATTGCTTTTGCACAGTAAGTCTATGTAACTAACCTGATCATTAAAGTTTCAGCAGAGCTGAAGGTGACGATTTGTACTTGTTAGCTTGATTTGTTTCTTCAAAAGAACGTGAATATCGTACATAGGTACATATTTCTCATAATTAAAGGGAAGTGACAGCTGATTTATGTAGGTCCGCTGATGACGGAGAGTAAGATGTTAAAAAATAAGGATGATAAGGAGCTCATGTATGTACTATTAAAGCTTCCATGGACCCATTCTATTATAGGTAGCGAACCTAAACTTCTGAGGAAAACAAAATGCATCTCTGTTCAAGTTGCAAGTAAGCTTTCTGACAGTAGAAGTGAACCTGATCTGGAAGTCTTGGATTTGGGCCTTCATGATGAAGATGAAGAAGTTAGATCTGAAGCAATAATTTCAATGCCAATGATCGTCATGTGGTCTGGTCTTAGAATATTATCTCGTTTATTAAGAAGGATGGAGTAAGTTAAAAATAAAAGTTATTTACTTCTCAATTTTGTAATCCTTTTTTGCGTGCCATGGATGAGATTTAATATAGAAAAGTACTGTATGATTAGATGTATGCATTTTTACTGTTCATTAACTACAAATTTTGTTTTGCCTGAAACTTCACATTATACTTTTGGTTTGAATAGATTGCTTAGTGCTCATCATGATTGCTGTCTCGTTGATCTGTTAATACTATTATTGTTGATGTTGTTGTTTTGCTAATAGCCCGCATTATACTTTAGTAGTTTAGTCACATTTTAGAATCCTGTAGGTGGCATAGTTTTCTTCAATGTATTATCAATAAAAAGTAGTGCCTTGTTCAATCAAGGTGTTATTTATTTATTGTGTCTGTACGAGGACTTCTAGGGTTAATTTATTACCTTTTTCTCTTGTAGATTCTTGGAAGGAGAGAAACACGAAAAGGTTAAGAATGCTATACCATTTTCTCTTGGTTATTTGTCGTGCCTTTCTGGATCTTGTAATGCTGGGGATGATGTAGAAAAAAATGAATGCAAATTGTTTTGGAACGTAAAAATTTGGAAAGCTGATCAAACAGCTGATTATTTGCTGCGGGGATTTTGGTGTTCAAAGTGTGACAGAAGTAATCAATGCAACAGTGAGCTGTGTTCAAAAGTTGTAAGTGGGCATGATACTCCCAGCAGGCAAATCGTTATGGATTCTGATTTCATCCTTCTACGGACTCTGTTTTTCAAACTTCTCTATAATGAGTCACCCGAAGAGGTCCAAGTTTCTTGTGTGCAAAACATTCGAAGGATTCTAGTACATGAAACCACTAACAATCTGATTGAACGGGGTACTGAATGGATTGGATGTGTTAAATTTTTACTTCTTAATAGAAAGAAGGCAGTAAGAGAAGCATTCTGTGGGCAGATTAGTTCATTCCTGGACGATTCTGTTTTGAGTTGGTTATTTAGTGATGAGGACACACCAAATAAAAGTAAAGAACAAAAGTTTATGGATATCATCAAACATGCTTTTGCAGCTGCTGAAGATCCACAAATATTTGAGACTCTTTTAGAATCTACTGCAGAAATTATGATTGGAGTTGATATTTATAATCAGGTTTTCTTATTTTCTCTTATCTTATTGGTCGATCAGCTTGATAATTTGCATGTGACAGTGAGAACAAATGCTTCAAGGCTAATACACAAATCTTGCTACTTTCATCTTAGAGGAGGCTTTGAATTAATCCTTTCAAAAGTTGTTCATGTTCGAAATGAACTATTTGATTATTTGTCGGCAAGGCTCTCTAGCCGTCCATTAATGATCAGAGAGTTTGCAGAAGCAGTTCTTGGTGTTGAAACTGAAGAACTTGCCAAGAAAATGATTCCTGTTATCCTCCCGAAGCTTGTTGTGTCTCAGCAGGACAACGAGCAAGCAGTTGATACGTTATATGAGTTAGCCAAGTGTTTGGACACTGATGTGGTGCCTCTGACAGTTACTTGGCTGCCAAAAGTGCTAGCTTTTTCTCTTCACCGACCAGATGGCCAAGATTTACTCTCTGCCTTACAATTTTATCAAGCTCAGACTGGTTCTGACAAGCAAGAAATCTTTGCAGCTGCTTTACCTGCGCTTTTGGATGAACTTGTATGTTTTTTGGATGGAACTGATTCAGATGAAATAAGAACAAGGTACATAGTTTATCCTCGTTCATAACGATAAAGTGTCATACAATAGTCAATAAAGCTGATATACTTGGCTGTACTTCCGTCCAGGTTCTGAATAAGTTTCTGTTTGTCTGTCCTATAAAATCTTTCTCGACATCTTTTGGGCCTTCATTTTTATTTTTTATTCTTTTATAAACTGCAACTGATTAGGGACTTCAAATTCAGTGGGATTTTTTTTTTTGTTTTGGCTAAAGAAATTCAGTAAAATGTTAAGTTTACAATATCTATGCTTGAAATGTACTAAATAATCGATTCTCCACTATGCCAAGAATTACCTTTATTTTATTTTATTTTTATCTATTTCAAGGCTAGCAAGAGTACCGGAGATGATAAAAGAAGTTGCTAGGATTCTAACTGGTGGTGAAGATCTCCCAAGCTTTTTGAGGAATCACTTTGTTGGCCTTCTCAACAGTATAGATAGAAAGATGCTCCACTCAGAGGATTATTCACTGCAGAAGCAAGCTTTAAAACGCATTGAGATGCTGATTAAGATGATGGGCTCTCAACTTAGTACTTATGTGCCAAAACTGATGGTTCTCCTCATGCATGCTATTAATAAAGAACCACTCCAAAGTGAGGGGCTTAGCTTATTGCATTTTTTCATTAAGCAATTGGGGGAAGTATCGCCATCTAGTACAAAATATGTAGTTTCCCAAGTTTTCGCTGCTCTCATTCCCTTCTTAGAGAGAGACAAAGAAAATCCTTCAACCCATCTAGAGAAAGTGGGAAAAATATTGGAAGACCTTGTGCTGAACAACAAACTTATTCTCAAGCAATATATCTGCGAGTTCCCACCATTGCCCAGCATTCCAGCTTTATCAGAAGTCAATAAAACTATACAAGAAGCTCGTGGGTCAATGACACTGAATGATCAATTACGAGATCTTGTTGATGGTCTGAATCATGAGAACCTAAATGTGAGATATATGGTAGTGTGTGAGTTGAGCAAGTTACTAAATCTGAGAAGAGAAGAGGTTACAGGTTTGATAACTGCTGAAGGTTCCAGAAATATGGATATTTTAAGCTCTTTGATCACGTCCCTATTAAGAGGATGTGCAGAAGAATCAAGAACTACAGTTGGACAACGTTTGAAGTTGGTTTGTGCTGATTGTCTTGGATCACTCGGTGCGGTTGACCCTGCAAAGGTGAAAGGCTTCTCATGCCAACGGTTCAAAATTGCGTGCTCTGATGATGACCTCACCTATGAGTTAATACATAAGCATCTTGCCAGGGCTTTTAGATCTGCGCCTGACACTATTATTCAGGACTCAGCTGCATTAGCGATACAGGAGCTGCTAAAGATTGCAGGTTGTGAGGCTTCAATGGATGAGAATGCTGCTGCTTCTATCTCAGAATCACTGAAAGATAGACCTACAAAGCTTGCTGCATCAGGGAGTAAGAGCATGGATAGTAACATTGAAATAAAGAGGGGTCAGTTATTGTGGGACCGATTCTCTAATTATGTCAAAGAGATAATAGCCCCTTGCCTAACTTCTAGATTTCAACTACCAAATGTTGCTGATTCTGCGTCTATTGGCCCAATTTACCGGCCATCCATGTCATTCAGAAGGTGGATATTCTTTTGGATAAAAAAGCTGATGGCACATGCGACAGGTTCTCGTGCAAGGATTTTTAATGCATGTCGAGGTATAGTGCGTCATGACATGCAGACAGCAGTATATCTGCTGCCATATTTAGTTCTTAATGCCGTCTGCCATGGAACTGAGGAGGCACGGAGTGGCATAGCAGAAGAAATTCTATCTGTTCTTGCTGCTGCAGTATCGGAGAACAGTGGAGCTACTGTTCATGTAAATGGTGGGCAAAGTGAAGTTTGCATTCAAGCTGTGTTCACTCTACTTGATAATCTTGGGCAATGGGTTGATGATGTTGAACAAGATCTGGCTCTTTATCAGTCTGTCCGATCATCATCTTCTAAGCAACAAGCATCAAAGCCAAAGGATAAACCTCAAAATTCTGTAATCGATCACGAACAACTCATTACACACAGTAAATATGTTTCAGAGCTTTTGTGCGCAATCCCAAAGGTAACCCTTGCCCGGGCTTCCTTCAGATGCCAAGCTTATGCAAGGTCTTTAATGTACTTCGAATCATATGTGAGGGAAAAATCAGGTTCTTTCAACCCCGCAGCTGAGAGAAGTGGCATTTTTGAGGATGAAGATGTTTCGTACCTAATGGAAATATATAGCCGTTTGGATGAGCCTGATGGTCTATCTGGGTTGGCATCTTTGCGTAAATCAATGAAACTACAAGACCAAATTTTAATAAACAAAAAAGCAGGAAACTGGGGAGAGGTTCTAACTTCTTGTGAACAAGCTTTGCACATGGAGCCCACTTCAGTACAGAGGCATTCAGATGTTCTCAACTGTTTACTCAATATGTGCCACCTTCAAGCTATGGTTACTCACGTTGATGGTTTAATTTCTAGAATTCCCCAGTACAAAAAAACGTGGTGCATGCAAGGTGTTCAGGCAGCATGGAGACTTGGCAGGTGGGACTTGATGGATGAGTACCTTAATGGAGCTAATGAAGAAGGTTTACTCTATAGCAGCTCTGAGAGTAATGCCTTATTTGACTTGGATGTTGCAAAGATTCTCCAAGCAATGCTGAAGAAGGATCAGTTTTCAGTTGCTGAAAAAATTGCCCTGTCTAAGCGAGCTCTGATTGCTTCTCTGGCAGCTGCGGGAATGGATTCGTACATGCGGGCTTACCCATTTGTTTTGAAACTTCACTTGCTACGAGAGCTGGAGGACTTTCATGCTCTTCTTGCTAATGAATCTTTCTTGGAAAAATCATTTCAGGTGGGTGATCTGGGATTCTCGAAAGTGATGGAGAACTGGGAAAGCCGCCTTCGGTTTACGCAGCCATCATTGTGGGCAAGGGAGTCTCTCTTGGCTTTCCGTAGAATGGTTTTTGGTGCAAGTGGTCTTTGGGCTCAAGTTGGTAATTGCTGGCTTCAGTATGCAAAGCTCTGTCGCATGGCTGGTCATTATGAGACAGCTAACCGAGCAATCCTAGAAGCCCAAGCTTCTGGTGCACCTAATGTCCACATGGAGAAGGCCAAGCTTTTGTGGAGCACCAGGAGATCAGATGGAGCCATTGCAGAGTTGCAACAGTCGCTTCTGAACATGCCTGTGGAGGCCGTAGGATCTGCAGCAGTATCATCTATTAGTAGTCTTTCACTGGTACCTCTGAACGCACAACCTTTAGTATGTGACACTCAAAGTTTGAATGAGAATCGGGATATTGCAAAAATCCTTCTCCTTTATGCTAGGTGGATCCACTACACTGGGCAAAAGCAGAAAGAAGATGTAATAAGTATTTATTCCAGGGTGAGGGAACTGCAGCCCAAATGGGAGAAAGGTTTCTTTTACATGGCCAAGTATTGTGATGAAGTTCTTGCTGATGCTAGGAAACGCCAGGAAGAAAATTCTGAATCCGGTCCCAGGACGATACCTTCAACTGAGAAGCGTTGGTGGAATTATGTGCCTGATGTACTGTTATTCTATGCCAAGGGGCTTCACAGGGGTCACAAAAATCTCTTCCAAGCACTTCCAAGGTTGCTAACCCTATGGTTTGACTATGGGAGTTTTTATCAAAGAAGTGGTGGGTCGTCCAATAAAGATCTGAAAGGTGTTCAGATGAAGGTAATTCTTATTAGTAGTCTATTGTATTTCCAAGATAGGCTTTTTACCCACACACATACAAAAATAAAGTTTTATCCGATTGGAATTTTGTATTTTGCTCCTTTGTTTTTCATACTACGTTTCCTTACCTTTTACTTTGGTAGGTAATGAGTATTATGAGAGGCTGTTTGAAGGATTTGCCAACATATCAGTGGTTAACTGTACTGCCACAGTTGGTTTCTAGAATTTGCCACCAGAATGAGGAAGTTGTTCGATTGGTGAAACACATCATCACCTCAGTTCTTCGAGAGTACCCGCAACAAGCCCTATGGATTATGGCAGCAGTTTCGAAGTCCACTGTTCCTTCTAGGAGGGAGGCAGCTGCAGAAATTATACAAGCTGCACGAAAAGGGTTCAGCCAGGGAAATGGTGGCAACAATTTGTTTATTCAGTTTGCTAGCCTGGTAGATCATTTGATTAAGTTATGCTTTCACGCCAGTCAATCAAAAGGAAAGACAATTAATATCGCAAGTGAATTTAGCGCCTTAAAGAGGATGATGCCACTGGGAATTATCATGCCAATTCAACAGTCTCTTACAGTTAATCTGCCAACTTTGGATAGGAATCTGAATGACTCACTAACCTCTGATATCTTTTCTCTGACTGATCTTCCTACAATATCAGGAATAGCTGATGAGGCTGAGGTTCTTTCATCTCTTCAGCGACCTAAGAAAGTACGTTTCAATTAGTTTCAGGAAATGAAGTAATTCACCATAACGTGTTTCTGGATTCAAATCCTTCCAATTATTTCATGTTTTGCATAATTCCGGTCTCACTTTACCATTATATATATCTTGGAACAAATTCGGAGATCCTGCTAATTTATTGTCATCTTTTGTCCATGTCATGTAGGCTATCCTGATTGTTATTGTGATCATTGAAAATCCTTTCGTCGCTTATTTATTGATTAATCTATCTTTTGTGTTTCAGATTATACTACTGGGCAGTGATGGCATGGAACACCCATTCCTCTGCAAACCCAAGGATGATCTAAGGAAAGATGCACGTATGATGGAGTTTACTGCAATGATAAACCGTTTACTGTCAAAATACCCAGAAAGCCGTCGGAGGAAGCTTTACATTCGCACCTTTTCTGTGATACCTTTGACAGAGGACTGTGGCATGGTAGAATGGGTGCCTCATACTCGTGGACTTAGGCATATACTCCAAGACATATATGTTACCTGTGGAAAATTTGATAGGCAGAAGACAAATCCTCAGATTAAACGGATATATGATCAATGCCTTGGTAAAATGCCAGAAGATGAGATGCTGAAGAGCAAAATTCTTCCGATGTTTCCTCCAATTTTTCATAGATGGTTTTTGACCACTTTTTCTGAGCCAGCTGCTTGGTTTAGGGCACGAACTGCTTATGCTCATACTACTGCTGTGTGGTCAATGGTTGGGCACATTGTTGGACTTGGGGACAGGCATGGTGAAAACATTCTTTTCGATTCTACTACAGGTGACTGTGTTCATGTTGATTTCAGTTGTCTATTCGACAAGGGCTTACAGTTGGAGAAGCCTGAGCTGGTTCCTTTCAGGCTGACTCAGGTGAGAAGCTCGTGGTGCCGGAAGTTTTTCAGAGTTCTTTGTTGTTATCAAGAATTTTCAATAATCCTTTTATTTTTATTGGTAGACTACCCAGTTTTTACATGATTAGTTTCTAATTGCTGGTATGATCCTGCAAACAAATTGCAAACTCGCACTTACAAAATTGTTAAACATGCATGTGGTGACATTGAGGATCCTTCCGTTGATTGTGTTTCTGTTATACATGTTGAGTAATCATTACCCAAGTTTGTTTTCCCGACACCTTTGCAATCATTTTCATCGACTCGGTTATCAAATTTTGCAGAACATGATTGATGGCTTGGGAATCACTGGTTATGAAGGAATCTTCTTGAGGGTCTGTGAAATTACACTCTCAGTTCTGAGGATGCATAGGGAAACTTTAATGAGCGTTCTTGAAACTTTCATTCATGATCCTCTGGTGGAATGGACAAAATCTCAAAGGTCCAGTGGGGTAGAAGTTCAGAATCCACATGCGCAGGTTTGATTTTCTGGGATCTCCTCTATTATTTCTTGTATAAGCTTACCTGAAATTTTCTTTACTTAAAAGAAAGTGATGAAAACTGCATATATCTGGATTGTGCATGAACAAGAATTTGATGATATTTAGTTGGTTTCAAACCGAATGAAATGCTTATGGGAATAATTGCTAAAACATGCTCTGTTTGATGCTCCAGAGAGCCATCAGCAACATCGAAGCAAGGTTGCAAGGAGTTGTAGTTGGGGTTGGTGCAGCTCCTTCTTTGCCTCTGGCTGTTGAAGGTCAGGCCCGACGTTTAATTACTGAAGCAATCTCACACAAAAATCTTGGCAAGATGTATATTTGGTGGATGCCATGGTTTTGAAAGTCGAAGGAGTTTGAAGGGTCATCCTAAGTTGAGTCTAAGCAGCATCGTATTTACCTCCAGCAACTGTCCAGCCTCATCAACTTTGTCTGTACGATGGACTTCTTTTTTAGGAGCTTGCCTACTCGCTGTGGAAATGAAGGAGTACATGGTATTGGTGCATGCTTCTGCTTTCCTATGGGTCCTCTAAAAAGTTCAAGCTCTAAATACTTAAAATCAGTTGGTTTTGGCCCAAAAAAATAAATAAATAAATAAAGAGAAGATGCGGAAAACAGAAAACTCTCAAGTGTTAAATGAATATGATGTGGGAGAGATTATAGAAGAAAAAACAGGCAAAACAAATGGACAAGCCATAGATAGAAAACAAGTTATATTTTATTAAAAAAAGATTAACAAGTTATTTCTTAGAATCAGTTGAACTCATAGTTAGTGTACTTCTTTTACATTGTAGGTGGAAGATTGAGACATGACATGCCTGATGACACCTTCCTCAAATTGGGTAAGGACTTCCAGATATCTCAAGTCAGAAAAATTAGGATCAGAGCCAAGGGCAGATAATTGGTTTCCATATCTGAGTACCCCGTTCTTTTTGATATTTGGCTTCTCGAGCTCAGGCTGTCATGAGTTAACATGGCTTGGGCGTCAGTTTTTGCTTGGAGTACGAACGTGGCTTTGACTTTATCTCACAGTATTCGAGTCTCCTTCCTTGATCAGCATAACCAATCTCTCACAGTTTTCCCTTTAGCAAGGAAACATCCAGCGTTCTTCCTATCAATTTTCATCGGACTTTTCATCTGAACCATCATCTCTTTAACCAAGATTTTCACCGGTGAAACCCCTCTGACATTGCTATGTTTCCCCGATCCGCAAACAACCACAACCTCAGCCGGAATGCCGTGATTCCCGTCATTGAACCTGCGTGTCATCTCTTCCATCCACTCTAACATTATCAAGTAGGCTGACCCCAAATGCATTCCATGCAAATCCAACTTGACCTCCAAAGAATCCCACACCAATACCTCCTCCAAAACGCTTGATCCGACTAGCTCCATAACCAGCAGACCCTCATCACCTCTCAAAGTTGCGTTCAACTCATACATGGAAAGCGGAATGTCCTTCAGGTCTTGTAGCATTGCTGTAATGGTTGGGCACCAATTTAACACAGAATTATACGTCCTGATTGAGAAAGGAATGCTTGAAGTTCTCATTTTCTGAAGCCACAACACCATTTGTTGAAGCTCATTATGGGCTCCATACGACGAGAGAACCATATTCGAACAAATTGTATCAATTACAAGCCCTTCAATCTCCATCTGGTTCACAGTTCTAAGCATGTCTTCCCACAATCCTAACCGTCCATAGCCATAAACCAAAGACCTAAACTCGAAAACTGACGGCTTGAGACCTTTATGTCTCATTTCCTCCATCAAACTCTCAGCTTCACAAGGCCGATCCATCGTGCATAATGCCCCAACCATCGTCTCAAATGCTCGGCATTTGACATAAGCAGACGAAGAATCACGAAGAAGCTGATACAAATAAGCGTAGGAACTATCAAAGCCGTGCTTCGAACTTTGCTTAGAGTGCGACTCAACCAAGCTGCAATAGAAGACTGCAAGCTCTCGCTGTCGATGGCCCAACTTCGAAACCGCTTCCGCGATCAAGGCTTCCGCTTCGCTATATCGTCCTTGTTTATCAAGCAATGCTGCGAGGGCTGCAACTAGCTTGGGGCTATACACGAACCAAGAAGCTTCTCTAATCTTTGAATACAACTATAATGAATGGAAAAAAAAAAAAAAAAAAAGAGGGAGACTTTAGACCAAAGGAAGTTAAATTCCCATTTTAGAAGTAGTTTTCAAGAGAGCTTTTGAGTACATACGTGAAGGGAGTGGGATGTGAGGTGGGTGTGCGTGGTGTCAGGAGAGAGGAGATGTGAGAGGGCATTGAGGGAAATGGACTTGGGTGAGCTTGCTACGAATTTTCCGATGAGCTTGTTTGCGGCGGAGGCGTTGCCGGCGTTGATGGAGAGGGTGGAGAGGAAGCGGTGGCCTTGTTTTGTCAGAGCGCATTGGATTGAGGATGATGCTGCCGCTGAACGGGTGGGAGAGAGCCCGCATATCATTTGGCTCACAAAGCAGGGTTGGGTGTCAGCTGTCAAATGGTTTGGCTGATTGTCTTGGATTTGGTTTTGGCGTCCCTCTGCTTCTGCGGATGATTCGACTCTGAAAACTGAAATGTAATGTGTTATTGGGCCTCTGGTTTAGGCTTTAAGCCCATGTCGTAGGGGCGTTTGACCATTCAACTTCTTGTAGGCAGTGTAAAATGTGGTACCCATGTTATATGCCCAGATAAGACCTATAATAGTAAAATTTTTATTTCTTAGAAATTAGTCCGTGTGAGTTGCATGTACGTGAAGGTTTTCATTTATAAATTCAGAACTTGACAAAAATAGTGTTCTTATCTAAATTTGAAAGCTTGGAAAGTGAGTGAATCACTTTTTTGCATAACTATTTCAGAGCTTCTAGATTGATGTTTCTGGTTTTTAGACAAGTTTCTTGGTACAATTGTTAATACAAGTTAAAAGTGATTGAACCAATACACAGAAAAACCATTGCACTTGTAAAGCAATTCACAAGGCAGGTAGCTCTTGAATTATGACTGACATGAAAATCAATATTGTTGGAAATTAAACTAACACCGACTTCGATCTTTCCGAATCAAAACAGAAAAGAAAACCACAAGAACACAACAATATGATTTCGGAGTTCGGTGAAATCACACCTACATCTTCGTGAACTCTCCAGAGGAAATTCAATATGCACTATCTGAACAAAGCTGTTTACAAGAGAGTTACAAACTTCCAACAACTCACACCTTAACACTTTCCCGAGAAACTGAGCAAGAAAATACCCAAGAAAATTCACCTTTTCTCTCACCTTTCTCACTCTATACCGTCTCTCTCTAAGGTTTTATGTACAAGTTCTTCTCTCTCTCTCTCTGGAATGCTCTCGAAGAAGAAGAAGAAAAGAAGCTTAAAGAATATTACAAAGAAAATAGAATTATGTTTCTCTTATCTGGAGACCACGCAAGTCGGTCCACTCAAATGCTTCCACATGTGTTGCTCTTGTCCACGTCAGCTTCAAACATCTTCTCTAATAAGCGCTTGCTCTTCAGTCAAAAATGACTTGTCGTTTTTGTCTTCTCCAAATTCAGCTTTGTTAAACTTGAAATACTGAGTCGTATTAGAATTGATTCAACAAATATAAATAATTTTTTTCCCTAAACGTGTGGGTTCCTATAGGCAGACCATATTCTTGTTTCTTTGAACTTCAAACCCCTCTAGATGTTCCATGAAGATCCTTTCCTCAAGCTCTCCATGCAAGAATGTGGTTTTAACATCCATCTGGTCCAACTCTAAATCAAATTGAGCTACCATAGAGAGCATAATTCTAATGGTCTTGTATTTGACCACAAGAGAGAACATTTCGGTGAAATCTATTCCCTCATTCTGTGTAAAACCTTTGGCGACTAATCTTGCCTTGTATTTAATTTGTTCAGTATCTGATGGTCAGTCCTTCAATTTATAAATCCACTTGCAAGCAACGACAGATTGATCCATGGGCCTAGGAACCATTACCCATGTTTCATTCTTGTATAGAGAATTCATCTCTTCTTTCATTACAGTGATCCATAGCTTTGATTCTGGTCCCTCAATAGCTTCTTTATACATTACTGGCTCTTTTCTATCGAGATCTATTGCTGTCATGAAGGCATATGCAAGCAAGTCTGTGTAGGCAATAAACCCATATCTCTGAATAGGTTTAATTTGCCTTCTTGACCTGTCTCTCATTAGTTGGTAATCACTTGTGGTGATGTCTGCAATTGTCTCTTCTTCTTGAACATCTTGTAAGTCAACTTCTAATTCTGAACTGGGAGTATCTTCACTTAATTGCTGAAAATTTTGCTCCCCTTAAGGCTGATCAACATTCTGATGCTCCACCTGAGACTGACTGCCATTCTACTGCTCCACCTGAACTTGTGTCTTTATTGTACCTGCAGGGTTAGTGATAGAAATACTCTTTCCTGCAGTAGTATTAGTGTTAGAAAGGCAAGGGAAAATAGATTCATTGAAAATGACATCCCTACTGTTTATGGTCTTAAAACCTCTACCATCTCTAACCCATAACCTATATCCCTTTGTGCCCTCAGAATATCCTAAGAAGACACATTTAATGGACCTAGGATCTAGTTTGCCTTCCTTTTGGTGTGCATAGGCAGCACAACCAAAAGTTCTCAGATGAGACATGTCTGGTGGTTTATTTCTCCATATTTCCTCAGAGGTTTTAAAGTTAATGGCACTTGAGGGACATCTATTCACCAAATAGGCAGCAGTAACAACTGCCTCTCCCCAGAAACTCTTTGGTAACCCAGATTGGAACAACATGCACCTAGACTTATTAAGTAAGGTTCTGTTCATTTTTTCAGCAACTCCATTTTGCTATGGAGTTTTCCTTATTGTTCTATGTCTTTGGATCCCTATCTCAGCATAGTAATTATCAAATTGTTTATTACAAAATTCTATCCCATTATCAGTTCTAAGGGTTTTTAACTTCTTATATGTCAGATTTTCCTGTAAGGTTTTCCACTGCTTAAATTTACTTAATGCATCATCTTTAGTTTTAAGTAAGTAAACCCACACTTTCCTAGAAAAATCATCCACTATAGATAAGAAGTAAGAGTTACCTCCATGGGTTGTGACAGCTTCTGGGCCCCAGAGATCTGCATGCATGTACTCCAAGGCCCCTTTTGATTCATGAGTCCCTGTGCTGAACTTGACCCTACGCTACTTTCCTAGGATGCAGTGTTCACAGAAATCAACTTTGCTTACATTGTCCTTACCAAGAAGTTTCTGGTCACTCATGATCTTGAGGCCTCTCTCACTAATGTGCCCCAACCTATTGTGCCACAACATTGCCTTAGAATCTTCAGGAGCAATGGCCACTGACGTCTTCCCTGTTAGAGTTTCTCCTAACAAATAATAGAGACCATCTTTCTTTACTCCTTTTATCACTACCATTGAACCTTTACAAACCTTCATTTTTCCACCTTCAATCTTGTTGATGTAGCCCGAATCATCCAAAATTCCAAGTGAGATGAGACTTCTTGTCAAGCTAGGAACATATCTCACATCCCTTAATTGTCTCACTACCCCATCAAAAATTTTGATGGAAGCTGTCCTTGTTCCTTCCACTTGACAAGTGTGGCTGTTACCCATCATTACTTTTCCACTATTTATCTTCTTGAAATCAGTTAACCATGACTTATTGTGAGTCATGTGATAAGTGCACCCTGAGTTAAGTATCCAGTCTTGACTATCAATGTTGTTTGCCGCCAACAACACCTCACCACTTTCATATCCATCACTGAAATTGGCCGACTCATTGTTGTCATTTCCATTTGAGGAGTTCTGCTTCTCTTTCTGCTTTCTTTGAAAGGCATGGCAGTCCTTCTTTAAGTGACATGGTTTCTTATAGAAGAAGCACTTCCTTTTTGTGTCAGGTCCCCTGGAGGCTGGTCTTCCTTTCCCTATATTGTTGCTTCTTCCCCTTGAATTATTTGATCTTTGTTGACTCTGTCCTCGGGCCAAGTGGTTTCTTGCATTTGATGAGTCCTGCCTTTCAGTCTTGATCTTAAGATCCCTGGACTTCAAGGCTGATATGACCTCTTCTAAGGTGATAGAGGTCATGCCATACTTAATGACATATTTTACCTCCTTGTATGATTCTGGCAGAGCATTCAACAAGATGATTGTCTGATTCTCATCACTTAGAGCCTCATTTTTCCCTGAGTTTGCTAGTTCAATGTTCATCCTAAGAAAATCATCAAGATTTTGATCTAGCATCCTGGAGGTATTCATCTTAAAACCAAATAGTCTATCTTTCAAGAAAATCTTATTTGTTAAAGATTTCTTTTGGAAAAGTTCATCCAACTTATTCCAAATCTTGGCAGGATTCTCTTCTTTATAAATCAATCTTATAACTAAATCAAATAAATGAAAGATGATGATACCTGTAGCAGTCTCAAGCAATTCCTGCTTCTGATCGTCTGAGAATTCCTCGGGCCATTTTGGGGATTCTTCCAACGCTTTGAGCAACCTTTGCTAGGCTAGGAGTCCTTTGATTTTCCTTCTCCAGATGAAGAAATCGCCTGAACCATTGAACTTTGATTTCTATCTTCATATTTCTCAAACCCCTAAAAGAAATTTGATTCTTCGTGGGTTGAGCAGTCTGACTTAAATCCAAAGATGCAAACCCTCTAGAGGACTCCGTATTCAGTGGTATATCTTCAAAATCCCCCAAATCTAGGGAACCTTCAATGGAATCTTGAACTCCTTCAACCTCTAGTATTTCTTGCCCTAGATTCTTGACCGAGGTCGATCCCATTTCCTAACCAAGGGCTCTGATACCAATGTTGGAAATTAAACCAATACCGACTTCGATCTTTCCAAATCAAAACAGAAAAGTAAACCGCAAGAACACAACGATCTGATTTTAGAGTTCGGTGAAATCACACCTATATCTCCGCGAACTCCCCAGAGGAAATTCGAGATGCACTATCTGAACAAAGTTGTTTACAAGAGAGTTACAAACTTCCAACAACTCATACTCTAATACTTTCCTGAGAAACTGAGCAAGAAAATACCCAAGAAAATTCACTTTTTCTCTCACCTTTCTCACTCTATACCATCTCTCTCTCTCTCTCTCTCTCTCTCTCTCTCTCTAGGGTTTTCTATACAAGTTTTTCTCTCGCTCTCTCTGGAATGCCCTTGAAGAAAAAGAAGAGAAGAAGCTTAAAGAATATTACAAAGAAAATAGAATTATGTTTCTCTTATCTGGAGACCACGTAAGTCGGTCCACTCAAATGCTTCCACCTGTGTTGCTCTTGTCCACGTCAGCTTCAAACACCTTCTTTAATAAGCGCTTGATGTTCAGTCAAAAACAATTTGTCATTTTTGTCTTCTCCAAGTTCAGCTTTGTTAAACTTGAAATACTAAGTCGTATTAGAATTGATTCAACAAATATAAATAATTTTTTTTTCCCTAAACGTGTGGGTTCCTATTGCCTTTTTGAGTTTGAAAGTTTCTGGATAGTTTTTCCGGAGTGTTTAGACCCTCTAAACAAAGCTTCTAATCAAAGTCATTAAATGTGATTTAAAAAAAAAAACTTATACATTTTTTTTTAGAATTAGACTTATATATAAGTCAAGTCTCCAGTCCGGTACCGAATTAAAGCGACAACTATATATAATCAAAGTCATTAAATGTGATTTAAAAAAAAAAACTTATACATTTTTTTTAGAATTAGACTTATATATAAGTCAAGTCTCCAGTCCGGTACCGAATTAAAGCGACAACTATATATGTATCTTTTCAAAGTAATTTGTTGAAATAATTAGGGCCAGGTGTTCAGCAGTGGTAGATTCCTTTTTCTGAGAGGTGGATAGCTGAAGTGAGTTCAGGTGGATTGCAGGCGGGAAGACCTTATTTTATTTAGTTTTGGGGCATTAATGTGATTTACCCTTATTATAATAATATGAAGCTGTAGATATGGCGAAGGAGAATTCTAACTGAAACGACAATGTTGCATTTCCTTTCAAACATGTATCTTTTATTTGAAATATGTGAACAATTGACTTAGTTTCATGTACAATACATGAATTGAGGTCTTTCCGATTCATGAATTGAAATGTCATTTGGTTTTTTGGAAGAAAAGAAAACTGTGGGAATGTATTATTGCACTGCATGGTATATAATTTTCAGCTTTAGTGTGGATCTGCATTGTTTAATAAACATGCATTAACAACCAGGCTCTTGATAATTAAATGAGATTAAAAGAGTATAAAAAAAAATGCAAAGAGAAGGTTCAGACTTATCACATGAGGCATATCGTAACCACAGATGTTAACTTGGAAACATAATGAACGTCAGACATGATAAATAGGGTATGGGATTTTGTCATGGTTTATGATACTCGCGGTTTCTCCATTTACTCGTTTAGCTATTTTCATTATAATATGAACAAATAATTAATTAATATGTATGTAACCATACAAACCTTTAAGTTAAAAATAAAAGAAAGACAGTTCTGAATTTTTAAATATATTATGTAATTTATTACACATAAAATAATATATTTTACTGTATTATACATAATGCATTTGGTTGAAAAATAAGATATAATTAAACGGGACGGATAAATAGGGAATATGGTTGGGGACTGCGATGGGGTAAAATTTTAACCTTTTTACAATCTAAATCTCTTTAAAGTAAATTTTCTTCTAATTATTTTAGTTTATTCAATATGTGTTTAGATTAGGTGAAAAGAGCTTAATTGGAACATTGGAGTTTAGATGGGGTCAAAAATGCAAAGAAAAACTTTATGTTTTTGAATTTAGAATCAACTAAGGAGATAAGAGTTACGCGAGTGAAAAAATAAGAAACTCGTGATTTCAGCCGTTAAATCCGCATCATAATCACCCACATCAGTGCGTGCAAAACTAAGGGTGACAATTTGGTTCATGACACAATAATACAACTCAACTTGTACGAATTTAGTGGGTTTGAGTTTACTATAAATGAGTTTGAGTCATAATTGGGTCGACATGATTAATAAATGGGTTGAGTTAGGGTTGACCTTCTGACACGAAGTAAAGACACAATTAACTATATGTGTCACATATAAATTAATTATGCATGATATAATTTTAAAGTTTATGTAATGTATTAAATACAAATAACATGAATTTAAATGTGTTATGTGAGTTGACACAATTAACACGATTAACAAAAGTCGGTATTTTTGACATTTTATAAATCAGTTGTGTTTGAATTGATGTCTTATAACACGATTAATAAACGGGTTGGACATGAACACGATTCATTAACACGAATTGTCACCCCTATTTTTGGGAGCTATTCTTCAATCAACACTTACATTTTTTCTTTATTCTTTTTTTTTAATGGAACCAGAGGCTAGATATTGTGCAAGCAAATTTGTTTCAGAACAAATAAACCCAAGTTTCGCCTGCATTATGAGATCCACAACAAACCCACGTTTGTGTTTGGTTTGAGGATTCAAACCGTGATTTGAATCATGGTTCATGGTTCATTACAGTATTTTCTCTCATAAAAAATACACATATATTAAAAATGATTCTAATCACATAATTCTAATCTATAAACCAAACGTCTTTAATGATCCAAGAAGAACCTCACTTGAATAAGAAAACGACATGAGTTGAGCTAGGCTTCATTAAAACATTTTTTAATGATTATTTCACACTGTTTCGGTACTTTTTATTTATTTTTAAATTAACTTTTGTTTGACCTATGAAACTAAGCACCACTGTTTCGGTACTTTTTATTTATTTTTAAATTAACTTTTGTTTGACCTATGAAACTAAGCACCCTCCACTTAAACGAAAAAAAAAGGAAACAAAAACCCTCCACTTAAACGAAAAAAAAGGAAAGAAAAACAATAAAAATGATTTTGGAATTCGTTTTAAAATAATTTTATTTTTTGTATGAAAATAAAAATGAAAACGTTTTCAATCTCATACAAAAATTACTTTTAAAAATACGTTTGATAGTTTTATCAAGAGAATATTTTCAGTATAAAAAATTTATTAATGTCTCTATTTCTTTCTCTATGTTCGAGAGAGGAGAAAAGAAAAACAAAAAATAAAAAACGACTAAAAGTCATTTTTCATTTCTCTTTTATTTTACACTAAACTAAAAAATCATTTTCATTTCCGTTTTTTATCTTTATTGCGTCAAACGTCGTTTTAAAAATATTTTTATTTTTTCTTTTTCAAAAAATGTAAAAAATAAAAACAGAATCAATTCTAAACACGGTCAATGTATTTTTTTTGTGTGGCTGTGGATCTATAATCTGATGGCTACAATTTGAAGTGCTAATTGGTTATGCGTTTTTTCACTGCTTGACCGGAGACTATTCATATATATATATATATATATATATGTATTATACATATATTTTTTATAAGGCTATACATTTCAATTTAATATTTTTAGGGTCTGTTTAGTTCACTGCTTGACCGGAGACTATTTATATATATATATATATATATATATATATGTATTATACATATATTTTTTATAAGGCTATACATTTCAATTTAATATTTTTAGGGTCTGTTTAGAATAGTTTGTGTTTGTACTTTTAAGTAGTAGAAGAAGATACATAAATTGAAACTTTTTTATTAGTGTTTAGATAGTATTTAAAAAATTATTTTTATATTTAAGAAGAGCTTTTGAACTTGTTTAGATAAAAAATTAAAAACACTTATTATTATAAAAAATAATATAATAAAAAGATATAAATGAGATATTTAATTTATTGTTCACAAATAAAAAATAAAAAATATAATTAAAAAAGTTTTTCATAAACATGTTTTTATAAGTACTAAAAATGGTTTGTTTTAAAAGGATTTTAAAAAAGCTAAAAACAATTTAAACTGTCCATCTAAACAGTTTTTAAACTAAATAAGTTAAAAACAATATTTTTTAAGCCAATTTAAACGGCCCCTTAAATTGATAAATTTGTTCTCATAATTTTTTTTATTATTGTTTATTTTATTTTTGCCAAATAGAAAACTGCTGAAATCTTCCATAAGCGCCTGCCATGCCCCCTTACAAGGATTTGCAGTTGCTTCTATTTCCAAATGGTGGATCGCAAGTAGAGAATGCATTTTGCTCTTTTTCCTTGTACAGGAATCAGCTTTGCCAATGAGCAACTTGTAGTCCAAATGCCCAAAAGAAAATCCCTTGCGACTTGCTCTGAAGATTCACCGCACTCCTTCAATGACCAATGTAGCGATTCGTCTGAGGAAGACGCTAATGGGCACTGCATACGCCGTCGTTTTGGGAATGCCTTCTTCACGGCATCTCTGTCAGTGTCCAGTCTCCATCTCCAAATCCCAGAGAGCGTCCTCAACATTCCGTCGTTTTTCCTCAACTTCGAAACCCAATAGTTTAGTTCCCAATCCAAATCTAGACTTGAAATTCTTGAACAAAAAGATCTCACATTTGATCCGAAGTGGTCGGATTGGCGAAGCGAGGGAAGCGTTTGATGGAATGAAGCACCGCAATGTTGTCACGTGGAACTCAATGATGAGTGGATACGTGAAACGCAGAGAGATGGCGAAAGCACGCAAGTTGTTTGATGAAATGCCTGAGAGAGACATTGTCTCGTGGAATTTGATGATATCGGGGTGTATGTCGTGTCGGGGAAGTAGGGATATTGAGGAAGGTAGGAAGTTGTTTGATCAAATGCACGAGAGAGATTGCGTTTCTTGGAACACGATGATTAGCGGGTACACCAAGAATGGGAGGATGTCTCAGGCATTGCAGCTTTTTAATGCTATGCCGGAGAGGAATGTTGTCTCCTGGAATGCAATGATTAGCGGGTTTTTGCTGAATGGGGACGCGGTGCGTGCTATTGATTTTTTCGATAAAATGCCTGAGCGTGATGACGCTTCACGAAGCGCACTAGTTTCGGGTCTTGTTCGAAATGGTGAGCTGGATGAAGCTGCAAGGCTTTTGCTTGAATGGGGCAATAAGGATGTTGGAAGAGAAGATTTGGTTCATGCTTATAATACACTCATTGCTGGTTATGGCCAGAGAGGTAGAATTGAGGAAGCACGACGCCTGTTTGATGAAATCCCGTTTTATTGGGGTGAGCGGAAGGAATGCAGTAAGAGGTTTGAGAGAAATGTGGTGTCTTGGAATTCCATGATAATGTGCTATTTGAAAGTGAAAGATATTGTATCTGCCAGGCAACTTTTCGACCAACTGACAGAACGGGATACCTTTTCTTGGAACACCATGATTACCGGATATGTTCAAATGTCGGATATGGATGAGGCCTCTAACCTCTTCCGGAAAATGCCAAACCCTGACGTGCTGACATGGAATTTAATGGTCTCAGGGTTTGTGCAGATCGGTAGTTTAAAAGTTGCCTGTTATTATTTTGAGAGGATGCCACAGAAGAACCTGGTCTCTTGGAACTCCATTATAGCCGGATATGATAAAAATGAGGACTATAAAGGATCAATTAAATTATTCACCCAGATGCAACATGAAGGAGAGAAACATGACTCTCACACTTTATCTTCACTTCTCAGTGCTTCTACTGGTTTGATGGATCTGCATCTGGGTAGGCAGGTTCATCAGCTGGTAACAAAGACTGTTCTTGCAGATGTGCCAATAAACAACTCCCTCATAACCATGTACTCGAGATGTGGGGCAATAGAGGAGGCGCGAACCATATTTGATGAGATGAAATTGCGGGATGTAATTTCCTGGAATGCGATGATCGGAGGCTATGCATCTCATGGTTTTGCAGCAGAGGCTTTAGAGCTTTTCGCACTGATGAAACATCTCAAAGTTCAACCTACTCACATAACATTCATTGCGGTGTTGAATGCATGTTCGCATGCGGGGTTAGTTGAAGAAGGCAGAAGGCAATTCGATTCGATGATCGGTGAATTTGGTATTGAGCCACGCATTGAACACTATGCGTCTCTCGCGGACATCCTTGGCCGGCATGGGCAGCTCCATGAAGTCATGGACTTGATCAAGAGAATGCCATTGGAACCAGATAAAGCGGTTTGGGGAGCATTACTAGGTGGGTGCAGAATGCATAACAACGTAGAGTTGGCTCAAATTGCGGCTCAAGCTTTAATGAGGATTGAACCAGGAAGTTCAGCTCCCTATGTTTTGTTGTATAATATGTATGCCGACGCAGGACAATGGGGTGATGCTGCCAGGGTTAGATTGACAATGGAAGAGAATAATATCATAAAGCAACGAGGATATAGCAGGGTATGTGAAATCTAACAATAAAACAGTCGTTCGTTTATGTCAAAATGTGAACGACATGTCGTTTATATTGAGCATTGTGTCATTTTCGTTTTGGTGTGTTTTTACGTGAATTACATCGCAAAAACTGGCTCCATTAGTTCGACTCACAATTTTTACTACAGTATTTCTTTTCATAAAAATTTAAATTTAATTTTTTATATTATAATATTTTTTATCACATGAATTCACTTTTTAATTAAAATATTAACTCAAATGAGTGAAATGAATAAAAGACTTATTAATGGAGACTCAAATAAATCGATATAAGAATGTCCAAAAGTTAACATAGTTTACATTCATTAATATCCTTTCTAATTTTTGTTATTATATTGAAGTTTTATATTGAGCATTGTGTCATTTTCGTTTTGGTGTGTTTTCACGTGAATTACATCGCAAAAACTGGCTCCATTAGTTCGACTCACAATTTTTACTACAGTATTTCTTTTCATAAAAATTTAAATTTAATTTTTTATATTATAATATTTTTTGTCACATGAATTCATTTTTTAATTAAAATATTAGCTCAAATGAGTGAAATGAATAAAAGACTTATTAATGGAGACTCAAATAAATCGATATAATAATGTCCAAAAGTTAACATAGTTTACATTCATTAATATTCTTTCTAATTTTTGTTATTTTATTGAAGTCAACAAAAATAAAAAAGGAGAAAAAATCTTTTTATAAAAATTATTGAAAAAAGAGGTGCACGGAATGAAATTGGGGAAGAAGTGCATCAAAAGGCGGCTGGAGTATTAATAAAACGGGAAAAAAAAGAAAAACAACTAATCTAAATACTAAGCGGGCGCACATTTAAGAGAATATATATTTAAGTGGAGCCAAAATATTAAAAATTAAAGAAACATATTGAAAAAAAAAAAAAAACAACTAATCTAAATACTAAGCGGGCGCACATTTAAGAGAATATATATTTAAGTGGGGCCAAAATATTAAAAATTAAAGAAACATATGAACTAAATTTAAAATTCAATAATTTTTTGCAAAAGAAAATTAAATTTTTATTTGACAAAAAAAAAATATCCCACCACGTGTCATAATCGTAGGTGCATACAGTTGCAGGTGACTTTGTTATGACAGACGTGGCGTGGGGCGTCTCCAAAATGGTTGCGAAGAAAGTTGCAAGAGAGGAAGTGGACACTCTCTATTAATATATTGCAGAGAGAAGACCGAATGAATGCAAGAGAAAGAAGATACACACACACACACACACATATATATATATAGAGAGAGAGAGAGAGAGTTTGTAATAATAAAATGGATTCTATATAAAGAGAGAGGAGAGACTGCGAGCAAACTGTTTTAGCCGAAATCTCTCTCTCTGTGTCTCTAAAGTGTGTGAGAAAGAGAGACTGCGTCAGGAATCTGTTACGAATTGCACTTCCGATTCACCGACTCGGTTGTGCAGATTTCCCATCGTCTCTCAATCTCTCGAGTTCTGAAGAACCAGATTGTTCTGTCCACTGATTACGTTTGACGATGATGAGGAGGGCTCGCTCAGGCGCCGACAACACCGTCGTCGATGTTTCTCTGAGGGAGCTCGGCTCGCTCCCCGCCAGGAACTTCGCCCTCCGACTCGGCGCTTCCGAGGTCTTTCTTTCTTTCTTTCTTTTCTTGTTAAGGAATGTGGAAATTGAACAGCTTAATTCATAGTTTGAGTAAACGAGTTTTGTGTTATCGGTGTGGAATTCTTGATTCGGTTTAGTGTAGTTCCAAGTCGGTTATATTGAGAATATGCGGTGGGGTGGTAGATCAGAAATTCAGTAGTTTAATTGCTTTGAAAGAACCGCCATTGTCGCATATATTATGTTAAATGAAATTTGGCCGAGGACGTTAATTTGTTGAAAAGTTTTCATGTTTGTTCTTAATTAAATCTTTTGTAATGCCTGTGTAAATGTGGAAAAAATAAAATTATAATGTTATTAATTATTATCAATGTGTCACAAGCATTTTAGGTATATGTTAATGTTTCTTTGGATCTTTCAGGATCTCGTGCTTAGGCTTGAATTGTACAGGAGGCTCGAACATCACAGAGGATGTGTAAACACTGTAAGCTTCAATGCGGATGGTCGCATTTTGGTGTCAGGCTCTGATGATATGCGGGTTATACTCTGGGATTGGGATATTGGGCAAGTGAAGCTTGCATTTGATTCAGGTCACCTACAGAATGTTTTTCAAGCAAAGTTCATACCTTATTCGGATGATCGAAGAATTGTCACATGCGCTGCTGATGGGCAGGTATTTTATTTGGCTACAAGTGGTGGCTGCATGACATTGAATTTTAGCTGCCCTAATGGTTTAACATGTTCAAGGCTTTACTTACATAATTGACCTGTCAAAGCTCACTATGTTTTTGTCTCGTAATCTTCTGAAAACTGCAATTGAAAAGGGGATATTTGAGTTGTTCAGCAAGTTAATAAAGGATGCACTAGGTGTTCCTGGAAGAATTTGACGATGTAATGATTGCAGCGTCTTTATCTTAATGGTTTTATATTAAGCGTGTTTAAAGGGGTCTTTACCTTGTTCTATATTGATTTGAAGGTCGTTTCTGCATCCTGAATTGGATAATTTAACTTTCTAACTGGAGCATCTACTTAATTTTAGGTAAGATTTGTTCAGATTTTGGAAGGTGGACGAGTGGAGACTTCACTACTGGGCGAGCATCTGGGACAAGCTCATAAGTTGGCTATTGTACCTGGGAGCCCTCATATCTTTTACTCCTGTGGTGAAGATGGATTGGTCCAGCTTGTGAGTTTTAAATTTCCTCCGACTTGTTTTATATGTTCCCTCTGCAAATGTCACAGTTTTTACTTGACTTGGAAGCTTACTAACGAGAGGAGGTATTCTATCAACCAAATCATTTCCCGGTCATTAGCCGTTCCTCTCATCAAGCAATTTTCCAAAAAGAATTACTAGTTGATTTTCAGCCTGGACATGCTTATTTTTGCTGTAAATCATAAAATCCTATATCATTTTTGTTAAAATGTGCCGTTAATGAGGCATTGCATTTTTCAAATGAAGTTTGCATTTATTTTTTATTGTCTGGGTGGACAGCCAACTGACATGGTCCTTATTGTATCAGTTTGATCTGAGAACCTCAGCTGCGACAGAACTTTTTATTTGCCAATCAATTGACTATAGAAGGAATGTCATACCAGTCGTCCAATTGAATGCCATCGCAATTGATCCAAGAAACCCAGATCTCTTTGCAGTTGCAGGTTCTGATGAGAACACCCGGCTTTATGATATCCGCAGGTATGGGTGGTATGGATCATCCGATTTTGGTGAACCTGTAAACTACTTCTGTCCTTCACACTTGATTGGTGATCAACGACTTGGAATAACATGCTTGGCCTTCTCAGAACGAAGCGAGCTTCTTGTCTCATATAATCGTGAGCACATCTATCTTTTTACACAGGAAATGGGTTCAGGACCTACTCCACCCTCTCCATCTGGGGTATCTTCTTCAGCTTTGGATGTTGATGAAAAGATGGTTCCTCAGGTTTACAGTGGACATATGAACTTTGACACCGTGAAAGGCGTCAATTTCTTTGGGCCTAAATGTGAGTATGTGGTGAGCGGGTCTGACTGTGGCAGAATATTCATTTGGAAAACAAAGGGTGGGGAGCTTATTCGTGTCATTGAGAGAGCGGATCTGGATGTTGTGAATTGCATTGAGCCCCATCCTCGTACAATGGTGCTTGCAAGCTGTGGAATTGAGCATGATATCAAGATATGGACGCCAAAGGCTCTGGAGAGAGCTGAACTGCCAGTAAATATTCAACAGGTACGTTTTCTCCTTTTGTGCTATTATTTAAAGGCAAAAATTGTGCATCATTGATCATAGTAGGGTTCGATGCATTTTTATGTGGACTCCCAACATTCTTGTGGTTTCTTGAAGTTGAACCCGCTTGGGTTGAGTGCCTTGGGCATTTATTTTGTTCTTCCTTACTCTTTCCTTCCAAAATGCCTACACCATGAGGCAGATGAGATTTGTTGGTCATACATGCCATATTTTATTATCTTACTATTTTCAGGCGAAATGGAAGAGAAGGGGTCAAGATGGGAGGAGGGGATGTGTTTTCACATGCGTCTCTATTTTTTCTTTTTCTAAAATTTGGATTATTCTTCATACCCGTGGTTATTTATTTATTTACTAATTCATTTTTTTTTCTTTTTGGAGCGTGCATGGTCCTTGTTTATTATCTCAAAAAAAAAAAAAAAGCATTTCAGTAGTTTAGTTGTTCACCATTTTTTTGTTTTTTTTGGCTCAGAGAAGTTGTTTTGTTGATGGCTAGATTTTCTCTCATTTTCTTTTTTGTTTTTGGTGTAAGGTGTAAGGTGTTTGCTGATAGGTAGATATGATTTAAGAAAATAATACCCCTGGTATGTAATATATGAGGTACGAGCAGCAGAGCAACTAATTCTCTGCCATTGTTTGAAAAAGGTTCTACCTAGACGAATTCGTTGGTTTTCCTTTGGTGGTGACGATGACGAGAGTGATGATTGTTTTTATGATGACGATGAGGATAGTGACGATTATGATGATGATGATGATGATGATGAGTCTGATGATGATGATGATGATGACAGTAACGATGATGATAGCAACAATGATAACAGCGGCGGTGATGAAGCCAATTGTGGTGATGATAAAAATGACCGTGATAATTCTGTCAAAGGTTACGATGATTCTAATGGTGATTATGATTTTGAACTTTTGTTTTCAGCATCAGCAGCAGCCGCAGCAGCAGCAGCAACCCAGGGTTAGGAACTGGATGTACTGTGTCTCCTCACCACGGGATCTAATATTGGAACTTTTTTCACTGCAAAGCCGGCGAACAGATGGAATGCTTCAAGAACTTGATGAGCTACGTGCATTCAGTGCCAACAACGATGGTTTCTCAGATGATGAAGATACCTCCAGTCAAGATGGCTTGTAATTAGTTAAATGACTCTGAGGTGGGCTTTGGAGCATGGTGGAAAACAAATGATAGCAAGTGTACATAATTTTGATTACTTCTCAACTGATGAGTGAGATTTTGCGATTTGTAATAGTCAACGAATATCCTAATAACTATAGGTTTTTTCTTCTTATTCATCGGTTCCCCTGCAGTATGCATCTCTTTTTGTATTTTGATTGCATTAACATTTTACCTGCTAACTTCCTTTCCACGCACCTATATAGTCTTGTAATGTCCTATTGGATTTTTTTTTTTTTTTCGTTTTTGCAAAAAAAATATAGAGAAGGTTTTTGGCATCTGAAATTCTCATCATTGCGTGAATTAGAGCATTACTAGAGAGGGGAAAGAGTTGAGCGTAATTTACACTTGAATGTAACTTTTAATTAGCTTACATTCAAGTGGTATGGGAGAACTAACTATACTTTATAAGTCGTATTAACCTAATTTACATGCCATCATCTTTGCGCATTCGCACGATCATACAAAGAAATTCATGGAAGATGAGATGCAACACATAAATATTAGTAAGTATTGCATGTCGTTTATTGACAAACTTTCATGACTAACAAGTAACGAGTCGTAACGTTTGAACAAATGAGATGTCGCTTCACATTCCACCAGCAGCAGATTTTGTCAGAAACCCACAATTCAAATTTTAGAATCAAAATATGTTGGCCATTTAATTTTAAACAAGGGTTTTGACGTTTATTGTTCTCTTATTATTAATAGGTATGGAGATTTGTTGAATTTTTTTGATATATTATTTTCTGAAATTGTCATATAGATGTACATAACTCTTACCATTAATTGTGAAATTACTAACAGATATTAAAGTTTAACGAAAATAATGTTCTTGGGTAACTTTAAATTTAATTAAATATTATTAATTTTTAAGAGTTTTTAAAATTGATAAAAGAAATATTTCGTACTTAAAAGTTTATCTAAAAATATTTATTTATCTATAAGTTTCACGTATAATGATCACATTAAAAATTTATTGAAATTAAAAATCTAATTAGAAATTTATTGAAATTAAAAATTTATTGTCAACTTTAAGTTTATAAATTTTATCTAAAAATAAAAAGAAAGAAAATTATCTAGAAGAAATTTTAAAAACTAGTCACAATACTAATAATTTAGGTACTGGTAATCTAAAAATGCCTTTGAACTGCGACTTCGTAGAGTTGCTTTAGTTGAAAAGAAGCAAGCTTATAAACAGATGATTGACATGTCGTTTGTAATCTAAACGTCATAAACGACATCTCCACAAACTAACGTTAAACGTCTTTTTAACTGGAACAACGTCGACCTCTTCTGGTTTTTTTTTTTTTAAATAAAAAAACATCAATCCCTGGTCCTCTTATAGTAAAACGAACTGTCACAGAAACTTAAGACATATGCCATAGGCACATTAGTCACCATTTTGTTTTAAGAGAATCAACAGCAAACTTTGGAGAGGCAGAAGAATATGCCGTTTCTTGATGAGCAACATATTTTTTTCGGTAGAATAAGTGCAACTTATGTCGTTTCCTATTATTTTATTATTTTTTTAAATCGACATTTCTATCAATATTTCTGCAGAATTTGTCGTATTTTAAAAATACCTGATTTAGATATATGCAATATGGAAATATGGATATTGATATCTTTTCTGTAGAATATTTCCACGGAAATTTCTGTAAATGTTGGAAATTTTCATAAACGCCGATATTTTCACAAAATGTAGAGTTAAATGACCAAATATTGCAGAAATTTTGTAAAATATTGGTAAAATTTTCTGAAATATCCATAATTATATATACGTTTTAATTTACTTTTCAATGCAAGAGTTATGTCTTTTTTTTTTTAACTTCATATTTTGGTATCAATATTGTCTAAACCAATTACATATTTTAAATACCTTTGAACTAGAGGTGAAAGTTTGAGCCGTCCGGCCTAGCTTAATTTGGGCCCGAGGCCTGAATGGAAATTTTAGGCATGGCAGCTCGACCCATTATTTTCACCGACCCGACCCTAGAAGGAGGAGGGTTGGCCTAGCTCGTCGTGCTCTAAGGCTGGATTGGGTTGACCTAAATAAGGTTTCGGGTTATGAACCTCAGTTGGGCTGGACTGGACCCGACCCGGGCCAACATTGTCAGGCATCAGGCCGACCCATTTAGTTTGATCCAAATTTTCACCTCTACTTTTTTTTTTGTTTTTCAAAAATAGTAGAAAATAGGCCAATATGAAAAGTTTAAGAAAGTATACAGGCCAATTTTTAGTTATAGAAATTAATAGGCCATAACTTATCAAATTATGGTTCATAACCAAATAAGTTATGGTTCATAGCCAGACAAGTTATGGACAAAAATCGTGAATAACTTGTCAAGTTATGGTTCATAACCAGACAAGTTATGGACGAAAACAGTAATTTAGCCTATTTATTAACTTATGTAAACTATTGGTCTATTAATTTTAATTCATCTCAAGTCTTGACATATTTCCCTCTTTCTCCCCTTTTTTTTTTGAAATGAAACTTTCACCCTTAAACCTTATAAAAGCTTTTTTTTTGGTATTGATAATTAATCATCTATGAAACCATAAATGTAAAGTATTTGTGTTAGGTTAATTTCAGCTATTTTACTTAAGGGAATACGAAGTAAATATCAGTTTTACTAAAAAATAATTAAAATAATTAAAACAGTAAATAATTAACATAAATAACATATTTTAAAAATATTTAAATTAAATAACAGTAAATTAAATATTATGTGGTAAAAGTTTGTTGACCACGTAAATTCAATCATAAAAAGAAAATTTATGTGATTTTTTACCACATAAATTCAATAGTAAATTAAAATTTACGAGGTAAAAAATCTTTTTACTGCTATTTATTTCAAATATTTTAAGATCTATTATTTATGAATGTGTGCTTATCTTTATGGTCTTATGCTTACATCTTACTGTTCATATTTATCATATTATTAGTATTTTAATTGGGATTCATCTAATTTATCATAATTTAAGCTATTTTAGATTTCTTAAATCTTATCTATTTAAAAGAAAATTATATTTGCACCCACTAAATTCATGAATACCCCCACTAAATTATCATATTTAATGCTACAATTTAAACCTTTAGTAAAATTACAATAAAAAAATAATAAGAATACACCCATATTTTTTTTTTAGGAGAAAACACCCACATTGCATATATGTTTCTAATAAAACTAGATCGATTTTTTTTTTTTTAAAATCATGACCCCACGTTTAAGAATCAATAAGGGAAATATTAATGTTCAAAGCTCAATTGTTTGTTTGTTTTTGTTTTTGTTTTTTTTTGTTTTTGTTTTTTTAAAGCTCATTCGTTGTTCTATGCTTGTGTAAGGTGAGTTGGCAAATGGAGTTTTTTTTTTTTTTTTTTGAGAATGAAAAAAGTTTTTATTATTTTTAAGATTGATTAATTATTTTTTATTCCTTTTCAAAAAAATAGTTTTATAAAATAAGATAAAATTAAAATGAAAGCGTCGGATGGAGTGGGGTGAGGGGTGTATATGAGGGTTAAATTGGGAATCATATAAGAAGTATATATGATAGAGTTTGTAAATATATATTAAGAAACATTAATTAATTGAGGTGCATTTATAAATTTTATGGTGCAAATATAACCACTCTTATTAAAAATACTGTACGAAACAAGGCCCTTATTTTGTCCTTGGTAGGCCATTTGGGCCTATATCAAATGGGCTTTAACAAAACGACTAGCCCAATTTTAACATTATGCGGCCGTCATCGTTCTCCTCCGATATTTTTCACTGGACCATAGAAAACTACCTTCTTCATCGTTAAGAAGAACGAGTCGAGCGACTCACTGAGTCATTTCATCATCGTCCGAGTCTGACCAATTCTTCATCTTCCTCCCATGGATTCTCGCGCGAGCTCGTGTTATGCTCCATTCACGTCTTCCTCTTCCATTTTATTTCCCAGAAGAATCCTCCCCTCCAGACCTGCTCACTTCTCTCTCGCCTCCAAAAGTACGTCCTTCAATTTTCTTTTTTTCTCTGTATTTTGCTTTCCGATATAAGTCGAAATCTAAAGTTTTGAAATTTGATAGAAAACTGTTGCGTTCGAAGATTATGAGGTTTTTTTTTCGTCATATTTTGTTGAAGTTTTTCGGCAATCTAGAAGAGCGTTGATTTGATTATTCTATTTTCTGATAAGGTTTTTATATTTGGATTTAGGTAACGACAGCGAAGCCGATCCTGAATCTGCATCGAAGGACGTGAAAAGTGTTCCGATTCTCAAAAATCTCAACCTCTCTCTCTCCCCACTCTCAAAGGTATTATTTCTTTCTTTGTTTATGTCTACAGATTTCTTCTTCGTTGTGATTTCCTTTTGATTTCCGAGAGATTTTAGCAAATTATCGCGGGGGGGTGGTGGCAATTTTGCATTTTACTCTGATTCTCAAATACTTAAGATTGTTGTGTATATAGTTGATCTTAATTTCTTGAGAAAAAAAAAGTGACAGATATCACTAATGGAGAGCTTCATTAAAGTCTCATGATTGGTGATGCACAAAACTGTTGCTTTTTTTCTTTTCCTTTGAGTAATTGATTAGCAATATCTATAGGTTGTTTGTAAAGTAAATGTATGATGTTGTGTACGAATTGGGTCTGTCAGGATGCGGCAATGGGTTTGGTGCTGAGCGCAGCTGCGGGAAGAGGGTGGACGACAGGTTCAGGAATGGAAGGCCCCCCCGTTCCTGATGGGAGTGAGGCCAAATCAAGCACCGAGAATGTCTCTACTTTCCCATGGTCTCTCTTCACCAAATCTCCTCGCCGTCGGATGCTTGTGGCTTTCACGTGTAACATCTGCGGCCAGCGGACGACACGGGCTATCAACCCCCACGCTTACACTGATGGCACAGTCTTTGTGCAGGTAAATAGTATGCAGTGCTGTGTTTTGTCTTTGGAACTTGTTGAGTTCATCATGGACTTGAAGATTGCTTTTGCATGAACCCTTAATATGTTTATGTTTTGTGTAAATTCTCCAGTTGGGTACCCAAAAAAGTACTCTCCCAATTTTGGTTGTTTATGAACTTGTTAGATTTTAATCACATAGTGTATTACATATGCATACTAGTGTATAACATTGCATACTGTTTTATTCTGAGAGGATATATTATATAACATTAACAAACTCTTGATACCAATGGGTACATGCCTATTTTTTTGCTAACTGAAGTGATATTTGTGGGTTCCCGCAGTCACAATTGTGGATGGCATTGAACTGTCTCTTTAACTATATGGGTTCTAATTGAAATCCTTGTTTGTTTTGGTTTGTAGTGTTGCGGATGCAGTGCTTTTCATAAGCTTGTGGATAACTTGAACCTTTTTCATGAGATGAATTGCTATGTGAACCCTAGTTTTAGTTACGGAGGTAATGGCTGGGAGGACATGAATTTCAAATACATGGACGTAGAAGACGAAGATGACATATTTCCCATTCAATGAGGTGGATTGCTACTGGAATTTGTATATTCTGTACTGGTATATTGAAAACTTTTAGCTCAGATTTTCATTTTAAGTATCCTATAAAGGTTTTCTCGTAGGAACCCATTTTTAAATATTCTATTATCTGGATTCTAATAAAGGGATACATGTTGATGGTGAACTCACTAGTCATATAGAATCTTTTCTCATTTGTATCATTACTCTTTAACATTGAGCAATACATACGTGTGTGTACATATACACAATACAGAGCTTGGATACAACAGCTGTTGGTATGGAACTGGAATATTTCTTCTGCATAAGAACTCTCATTAGCTCTAGTTCTTTACTTATGTACGTTAAGAGACTCCAAACTGTCAAATTCTAGGCTCGATATAGATACTTCATTTCCTCATCACTGATCTTCCACGCTGCTGCTGCTGCTGCTGCTGCTGCTGTTGTTGTTGGTTGTCTGACTTGATAAAGGAGGGACGGTTTTAATCATAGTACCTTGGATGAAGGCAATCGTCTGCACAAAGAATTGTGACATGTCAAATAAATCCATGAGGAAAGAAAAGCTAAACAAAGACGTTAAAATAAGCCTCTTTACCTAGCAAAAAAACATTACAAACTTGCATACTATATAAACTCTTACCATGGCAAGGCCAATGCACATGATACTGAAACCAGGGAAATAAAACGGTGCTCTTTCTGATAAGAACAAAGCTGAAAGGAGAAGACAACTACTTAATCTTTGATTCTTTGTTACATTTATCTTTAAGCCCAAAAAAATGTTACATAAGTTTTTCGACCAACCTGTTAGAGGACTGAAAATAAATGGAGAAATAATGCTAGCTAAAGAACTTATCCCTGAAAGACATCCTTGAGCCTTCCCCTGATATAAATTTTACTTGTTTAAGTCAGTAAACTAAGATTTACATAAACAAACCGAAAATGAAAATCAATGAAACAAGAAATGAGTTTTTCATTTGACGGGCAGATATTCAACTGCACGTCTTTTTAGAGTAAAATTTACCTGCTCATCGGACCCCACTTGTTTTGATGCAATGCTACGTACCTGAATAAGACAAAAAATTTTCATGGAAAACTCTAGTATTCAATCTAAGTAGCAAAGCTGTCGACAAAATGAAAGCAAAACGACCTACTGTTGGGTATGCAAAAACAGAAAAAACGGAAAAAATTGAGGCGGCATAAACTACCTGCACAAATGTGAAAAATAACTTCTTTAGTTACCACATTTTTACACACATAGCAGTAGTGGATTAGTATACATAACAATTATTCAACAATGGCATAGAAATACAAAAGCAATTGACTTTGGTTTAAGAGGATTACCCAAGCTGACCATGATATGCTGTAAACAAACGTCTGAATAAAAATTAGAAGAAAAGAAAAAGGTAACAGTCAGCGTTTATTCAACATGCATGTAAAAAAATGGAAATAGTGATGATAAAGGCACATACATTTATACATCCTACGAAAAGCCCTATACAGAGCAACTTTGTCTCTCCAACAATGGGAGCAAGCAGGGGCAGGAAAAGCAGCTGCAAAATGTAGCAGAAATGATCAAATTTTTGTCAGTGGCGAAGGTCCGTGCATTAACTGTTAAGCGTGTGACACTTAAGATCCGTTTGATATGAGAGTTCAAGTGGTTTGAACCTAAAGTTAACCAGTGTTTCTTTGCAAAAAGTAAAAAGTGACATTTGAACCATAAAAAGCAAAGGGTTTCTAAAATTGGCCTCTCATGGGTTCTCAAGATTTGAACCCAGGTTCAAATCCCACATTCAAAACCCATATGATTCAAACCCAAAGGTTTAAACCACTCTAATTTGAATCTTCATATTAAATGGACCATTAATTATTGTCCTGACGCAGAGTCAGTGGCTTTATTGTGTTTGCTTGTTTGTGGTTTCTTTATATTATTGCTTTTGTTTGTAGAGGATTAGGGCGCTTAATCTGTAACAAACATCGCATACCTGTGAAATGGCTCCTGCAACCCCAAGAATTAGCATAAGATCAGCAAACTGGTCTTTGTTGAAATGAAAACGAGCCTTTAAGAAATACTGCATTGTGAGATAGTTAATTCTCAGTTAATTCCTTTGTTTTTCTTGCTGACATAAGTACTAGAATAGTGACTATTTGTTATATGGATCTATTATTAATTAATCCAACCATTCATAAGTTCCTTAAACTTCAAGGTAGAACTTTACCATTAACGAAGCTTGGAACCCGCCCTCCGCAAGACTATTGAAGAAGGAAACAGTTGCTGCTTCTGAAAATGTTTTACTGCGCCAACAGAGAGTTTTACAGTTTTAGCTAACAGAAAAAGCATGACTAATCTTTATAAGACATTCTGAATCTAAAATATGTCTCATGTATTTATCGAAGTATTACCTGCTCTTGAGCAAGCTAATTAAGTCCTTCATCGTCGGAAACGTCTTAGAAACCTGTGTCCTTTTTGGGGCCTCGCCATTCTTTTCGATATCCGGTCCACCTTTCAAAATAGGCTGCCTCAGACTATCCTCATGTGGCAAGCTTTCCTCCAGGAAAACTCTCATATATACGGCTGCAGTCATGGATGCCAATGCAGCAACCTGAATATATATATATATATATATATATATATATATAAAATACGCAACCATGTATTACCGTCACACCAACATGATCATCATTATATATATATATATATACATAAAATTTGTTAGACAGTCCTCCCTGATATTTATTCAACATACTGATGTTGTAGAGGAGGAACAGTTGTCTGAAATAACTATAAATTTCTTGGTGTTGCACCTTTCCAACCTCAATGTTACAATGAATAAATGATGTGTTGTGTTTCTCACTTTTATATGTTACGTAAAGATAAGTTTATGCATACATACATAGACTTATTTGTTTTCCAGGAAAAAAAAAAACCTGAAATGTTGAAGCAGTGGGGAGGAAACGAGATGCTAAAGTTCCACAAACAAAAGCTGCTGAAACAACACCAGACATAATTCCAAATGCTGATGCTCGCCCTTGATCCGATATGTGGTCAGCCTATATGGATTAATTACTGTAATTTCTCAGTACTAAATAAGAAAACTGATCAATTGAATACTTGCACTATATATTGCAGTGGAAACTATGAGAACTTGCATTCTTTTCTTTCTTATTTTTTATTTATTAGATTGACCAACATGAAAATTAAGTTGAATATCTGGTTTTTCAACTAGTAAGAAATTGACATACCGTGTCACCGCATAATGATCTGGATTATATAATTAACATGTAAATTCATGACTAGTTAAAAAAAACTTAGCTAATATCTAAAGTTTTGTATTAAAGGAGAGGAGAGTTGAAGTGATAATTACCACATATGCAAGGGCCAGACAGTTGGTACTGCCCTCGCATACCATTGCCGTTAAAGTCTTCATGACATAATATGCGTAAAAGAAATTGGTTGTCCTGTTATACGCCAGTATTACTGCCCAAAGAAAAAAAAAATTCAAAACAAACACACATTAAATAAAGAGTTTTCCACTTTAGTAGTTTATTTTTTTCAAAAAATTAAATACGGTCAAAATCACATAAAAAAAGAAAAAAATGTATGCAAAACTAACGGAATCTGATATAGATATAAGAGTTTGAAACAAAGCCTAACCTATATGATTTTTTTTTTTTTTTTTTCATATTGCCATGTTGAATTCTCTATTAAATGAATCAAAACAAGGCTGTTGAAAGTGAAGGATCGTATCAACAGGCATATCACTAAAAATTAACCTTCTAATCTCGTTTTTTCTAAAAATATTAAAAGTGTCCTCTAAAGTGAAGCATATATCATATCAGAACAATCATACCGACGAATACTAACTAAAAAAAAGTGGAAAAAGTCTATTAATAATCAATTATTAGTTATTACCATATATATATATATATAACATCAAATTGCACTAGCAACATTATAACTATTATTTCTACCAAAGAAAAAACATTGTTATTGTTATTGTTATTATTATATTATTGTTATCTAATTATTGTAAATAACACTAGAAGCATTCTTGTATTGGTCAAGAGAAAATGAGCACGAACTTGTAAAATGACAGCTGGTTGATAAAGGTATCACTTTAGTCACCCCACTCCATCTTCAAAAGCTTATATAAAATGGGATGAATGGTGCATATATAGGCCCACAAGGGCACTTTCGACGCACAAAGGCACAAAGAAGAAGTTAAATGGCACTGAATCATGGATACCTAGTGGAATAATGTTGAGTGTCAATGGAAGTGTGAGGAGGGATTTTCTGCCGTACTTGTCGGAAAGATTCCCTATCACTGGGGTCATCACCACCATTCCCAGTCCTGTGATCTGCATTACACCATGATATGTATATCATCATTTTACAACTTAGGTACAAAATTCCAATATTTTATTTGTACACTTACATGTTATATCTTTTTTTTTTTTTTTTTTTTTTTTTTCAAATGAAACAATAGAGATAGAGAACATTTAGTAGAAATAGAGCTCCAAGTTTGGGTCGGCTAAATGGGCCCGACCCTTTCTCTTTTAAGGTCCCAGATCTGACTAAGAAATATCCATGCAAATAAAAACTAAAGAAAGACAAAAACACAAGATCTACTTCCAATACAAATTGGAGGTCACAATATAAAGCTTTTGAATTTTTATTTATTTATGCATGCTTATGTATACGTTTATATCATTATATGTGTGTGTGTGTATATATATATATATATGTATATATGAGTATGAACATATATTTACAGTTTCGGCTTCTAGTAATCACGTTTTTTATTGTAATCAGCACAAAAATTATGTCAAGCAATATAAATAAAGATTTATTATTTAGATATTCTTTTTCATCTCGCAGTAAAATTTCCAATACCATGTTCTTAAAAATCTTTTTTCGTACGATAACGAAGCATTTGAGAAAGAAAATAACGATGGGTTTACATCATCGAGGTCGTACTTGTTTTACTTTTTCATAAAAAGAAAGAAGCGTGTTCTTGGATTCTGACGATGATATTTTATCTTTTAGTTTCCAAAATCGACAGATTCTGCGTTTGCCTTTTTTCTGAAATGACAAACGTAAGTGCCCCACATATTAATTGCAGTATTGAATTCAAGTTTTGTTTGGTCATGAAGAAAATAAACGCGAAAGGAGAGGACCTAAAATCTCTTAAGTGGCATATGGATAAAGTGATCTTAAATTGGAAAAAAAAAAAAAAAAAAGAGCTATCTTTTTGTTGCAGAAATCTATAATCTGTTGCAGAAATCTATAATCAAATGATTTCATGTAGGAGTGGTAATTCATGTCACGTATCGTGTTTTGATCGTTTCTTTTTAAATTTACATTTAACCCGAACACAACCCGTAACACGAAATTTTTTAAAAACCGCAACACGACCACTTTACGGGTTGACATGACACGAAAATGACCCGTGACACGAAATTGACCTGTGAACTCGAAATTGACACAAAAATTATATACTTTTATTTAATTTTTTACATATTAAAAATAACTTAAAATTCATAACACACTAAAATACAATAACATCCATTGAAATTAAGCAAATAATAATATAAGATTTTGAGTATAACTATCATGATATCATGAGTTCATAATAAAATCAAAATATGTAATGAAAAATATATGTATTTTTTAATTTTTTACGAGTTTCATGTCGTGTTCGGGTTAGGCGGATCAAATCCGAAAATTGACCCGTGTTTTTCGTGTCAATTTCAGGTCGACCCAATTCTGACTCGAACCTCTTTTTTCTCAACCCTAACCTGCGAAATTCGTGTCGTTTTCGAGTCGTGTTGTTGTGTACTCGACCCTAATTTCATGCCCACGTATATATGTTGTCCATTTTCTTCTCCCAAATATCTTGCAACAAATGAAGGGAGTAATGTTTGTCCATGTTATTGGACAATAATATGGAATGAGTCATAAGGACGGATATATTTGGATGGTAGTGGCTCATTAATATCCAATTTTAAAATAATGTGTATATGATTTCAAAGACCAACTTAAAAATAAGTTTTTACCTCTTTTTCTTGGAGTACCTAAAAGCAAAAGCCAAATTAAAGTCAAACGGATGCTGTTTGGCATTGTTTTTTAATATTAATTTTGGTTTCAAGGATTCAAAAGTTGCTTCTAGTGGTGTTACTTTGGACTACCTTCTAAAAGAGCTTCAGTAAGTTTTATAAAATCAAAGACTTTGAAAACTATATAGAGCTTCAGTAAGATTTTATAAAGTCATTCCAATATTTATATTATTTGTCAAAAAATTTTAATGCCAATTTTATCATATCAAAATCTTTTAAAAATATAATTTCACATAGTTAGTAAAAAATCTTTGCTTTTACTCATCCTCTTCTATTCACTGAAAATATAAGTAAAGGGCAGGCTTTCTCTAGTTATACGTTAACAATGCAACTATGAGAAAATTATAAGATTAAAATAAGAAAGCTACAAAAAGTAATAACAAACCAACAATCAATTAAAAAAATGTTTATATCTTTGTTAACAAGAGCTTAAAGACTCGCCTATTTCCGAGGAAAAGAAGCTACAAAAAGTAATAACAAACCAACAATCAATTAAAAAAATGTTTATCTCTTTGTTAACAAGAGCTTAAGACTCGCCTATTTCCGAGGAAAAAGCGCAATCTTTCCTTTTCTGATTAACACTGCAACTCTTTAATCAGTCTTTTTTTTTTTTTTTTTTAAAGAAAAAAATCTTTTAACTTTTTTTTTTTAAAGAATAAAAAATCTGCAGCTTTAGCCTTTAAGACTTAATTTATTTTTCAAGTTAATGAAAGGTGTAAATGCTTCAAAATTCAGTCTTTTAGACACCAATACATCGTTTCTTCAACAAACTTTGAGAGTCTTCCATTTCCGCAACTTTTTTAACAGTTTTTTTTTTTTTTTTTTTTTAAGAAAAAAATCTTTTAACTTTTTTTTTTTTAAAGAATAAAAAATCTGCAGCTTTAGCCTTTAAGACTTAATTTATTTTTCAAGTTAATGAAAGGTGTAAATGCTTCAAAATTCAGTCTTTTAGACACCAATACATCGTTTCTTCAACAAACTTTGAGAGTCTTCCATTTCTTTAAATAGTCGCAAGGATTACTATATGCAAAAAACATTAGGAAAAAAAAAAAAAAAACTGAATATTATAAACAAGATGGACTTCTCTTGGGCAAAAAATGCGAATCCAAATTTAATGATAATCCTCTCTATGGTCACAAAACTGTAGAAGAAAATTAAACCTCTCACAAGAGGTGAAACGAAAGAAAGAAGAGGACGACAAATAGTCGCAAGGATTACTATATGCAAAAAACATTAGGAAAAAAAAAAACCTGAATATTATAAACAAGATGGTTTTCTCTTGGGCAAAAAATGCGAATCCAAATTTTATGATAATCCTCTCTATGGTCACAAAACTGTAGAAGAAAATTTAAGCCTCGTTCGTTTCGTTGATTCGAGTTTAAAATTTGAGTTTTATTACAGTAAAAAGTTCTCACAAATAATCACATTTAATTTTTTTACTATAATAAAAAATTCTCATATATAATCACATCTCAACTCAAATTCTAAACTCGAATCTCAAATTCTAAACTCAAATCATCGAAACAACGAGGCAAGCTCTCACAAGAGGTGAAACCAAAGAAAGAAGAGGACGATGAGGACGATAATAATAAAAAATAATACGTACCGCTTGTTGAAACCCAGTGAGATAAATGGCAAAAGAACACTCATCACGACCAGGGCAAAGAGCCGTCATAGTCACATCTGTAATGGCAGGAGCCACAGTGGAGCTTCCGAAGAAGTAAAGAAAAATCGTCACAAACAAGTGACCCAGAACTCTCAACTTCTCCATATACTAATTATATCCTTTGATATTAACCCACTGCTGTGATTATTTCAGAAAAACGAAAAAGGAGTATTCAACTGCTCCCTAACTTGTAGTAACGTCCTATAATTCTTTGGAGAGAAGAAAATAAACCGCTTTATAGACATTCCTGGGGATCCTTCGGAACCGTTCTATTTAGCTTTATCGGGTCCCTCTATTTTGCTTTAATTATTCTTTTGACCCCTTTTTCTAGAGAGAGAGAGAAAACTTGAGTTGGAAGTTATGATACGTTTGGTTCATGGATTAGAATCATGTGATTAAAATTATTTTTTATTTACGTGTATTTTTTATGAAAGAAAATATTATAACGAATCATGAACCATGATTCAAATTATGGTTTGAATCCTCCAACTAAACATCCCCTAAAAAAATGGTGGTTATTTTCGCTCACTCCTTTAGTCGTTTAGATGAGAGATAAAAGCAAAAAAAATAGGGTATCGTGGCTTCTAAGTCCTCATGCGGTCTTGTCTAATTAAGGACATCAACATTTGACTGACGACTAAACATATGCGTATGCACAGCTATCTAGGCGTGTGATTTTACTAGGTAGAACAGACACGTAAATGTGAACAACAATGAGAGACTCTTGTTGTCAAATTTCCTCAAACATTCCTATCAGTGATTTAGTGGTGTGGTGGTGCTGAGTAACTATTATGTCATTGTGGAATTTTAAAGAAGTGTATTGATTTAAAAATTTAAAAATTTAAAAATCCAAAAGTTAGGTTTAAATGTGTGCAACACGTAATTCCTGTAATATAGTTACCGGATAATGGAATTAACTTGAATATGGCAAATTAAACAAAAATCCAAAGTTATCTTTTTAGGCGTGTTTATTGGTTCGTCTATGTGTTTTTCTGTTGAGAAAACTAAGCATAGGTTTTATCATCCTTTGTGCATCATTAAATCGTACTGATAGAACCATGTGCTTTTTAGGGTTAAGAGTCTTTGTATACCGAGTTTAATATTGGTGTGTGTATTTTTTTTTTTAATTTAGAATACAATTTACCTATTTCAAAATACTAATAATAATTAATTATGGCCCTAAGAAAGTATAAGCAAAAGAGGAAGGTGAAATAGATTATTATAATTAGAAGTTAAAAAAATAGATTATTATTAGTGGGAATCCCGAGTAAGTTTGCTTGGTATAGTTTGTACTCATTTGTCCAACTTACATACATATATTAATATTTTATCATAGGATATGATACAATACCTAACGAAGAAAAAACCTCCAAGTATAGTTTCAAATAGGTAAATTTCCAATCAATATTTAGCATTTATCTTGACATGATGTTAATAAGATTGGACAAAATATTACTGGCAATGCCATCGTTTTTCATCTTCTTTTTTTTTTTTTTTTGCACATAACTCAACTTGATCTTATATGAATGACCAATATATATTCCTCTATAATTTCGAAAACTATATAAAAAAATAATCTCCATCTTCCATATTGAGGTTAAATTAGGGGCTCTTGTTGTTACAGTAGTGCTTAATAATTGTTGACCCTACGCAGATCGTTCGGATTGTGGTGTCTAATCTTTGTTTGTTGTTTTATCATTGTTTTTTTTTTTTTCCTATGTTAAGTAAATAGGCAATTATATCTATATATATATATTATAAGTTTAGTTAATGACAAATCCACATCATTTCTTAAGGTCTAAAGAGCCCTAACCACAGACTTAAAGACCCAATATTAGTCACACATTTCTTAAGGTCTAAAGAGCCCTAACCACAGACTTAAAGACCCAATATTACTCACGTACGCTTTTCTCTCTCGTTCTTTTTAGTTTCTCCATTGCACCAACGGTTTCAAACATATGAAACGGAACACCAAGTAGTTGGGTTCACATCGATTCCCCGTCTATTAGTAATTTGTTTGCCGTTTTCGAGGATTGAAAATCGAACAGCTTGATGCCAACAGTGTTTAACCCGAATCGACCACACTTCTAATTACTATGACATTATTCACATTATATAAGATGCATCATATAATTCTTTTACTTGAAGATGCATCATATAATATATAAGATGCATCATATAATATATAAGATGCACCGTACTAGTAAATGAAAAAAAGTATGCATCGAGTCTGTTAGATAAAAATATATAAAGATATGTATAGTTGCAGACATGCTTAATACTAAATTCTAAGCCTGATTTCACTGAACAAATCATTGTACGATATAGAGTTTGAAACCACATCATATTAAAAAATAATAATAATAAATAAATGAATAAATAAGATATACATAGTGCTACTTTTTTTGGGGGTTACATATAGAGCTGCTTGCACACGTACAATTATGTGTCATCCGCGTAGTCAAAATTTTTATTATTTACTCTTAATTTATAAGATTTTTACTCAAATAATTACACTAATAAAAAGATATTTATTAAATGTAAGAAATAAAAATTTAAATTTATACACTCTTAAAAATAAATTCCCTTTTTTTTCTATCTAAAAAAGTTTTCCAGGCCTAGAACCAACTCCCAACATAACACAATCACATGTAATTCCTGTGATGAGCCCTGCTAGTGGGGCAGGTCCAGCATTGGGTCGATAATGATTTTTATTTTTTCGTTCTCTTTTGAAAATTACTCGTTGTCTTTTTCTTTCTTTCTTTTTGCTAAATGATAATCCGGAGAGGGGGCGGCTAACTTTAGCATACTCCCTCTGGGCCTGACAAAAGGGGCCCCCTGATAGGACTTACATTCACATTAGGCCTACTTTAAACTAGTCACTCCTCGGATGAGAGCCACGTCACCTCAGCCACTCACAATGGCGATATTTCGCGTGTCTGAAATACGCAGCCATTGTGGTAGAACATACAGAAGTATTACTGAACAAAGCACACATAAATGCTGGCCAACTTAATTCCTTCCGAGCGCAGATGTACACGTGGAAAGTTAGTTGCTGAAACGACTTCCAAATGCAGATAATTAGCACAAGACAGCAGTTGAAATGAGAACACAAGTAATAAGTAACGTTCTCATTTGGTTGCCAGATTCTTTGTCATGTGAATGTTGGGTGCGTTTAGTAGATAAATCTATAATTATGATTTTAGATTTTGATTTAGAATTAGTGTTTATTTATAGTGATTTTAAATCATGATTCAGAATTAGTGTTTAGTTTAGATGATTCTGAATCATGATTTAAAATCTGATATGATGTTTTAAACTAGCTCAAATCATGATTCTAAAACTACACCCCCCCTCTTGATTCAAGTTGATTCAAATCCCTGATTCTGAATCATGATTTTAAAATCATAATTTGAACATAAATTCATAAATTATGATTCTAATTTCAGAATCATAATTAAAATCATTTTAATTTAAATTATCATACGGAACGAACCCGTAATGATTTATAAAGATAGAAGATGACATTTAGGTGAGCTTGGAGAAGAGGAATGATTAGAAAGACTGGCTATTCACAGCTCATCCTCCTATTTGACGTTCCAAGTAATTCACACGTTATCTTCAAAGAATGTTTCATGCCCAATTAATCATAGCCGCACCAATTGAATTTACATTAATCTATAGTTTCCAACACGTACGCGGTCGCTTTCATTAAGTTCCGGCGCAAATATGGCATTTTGCATGTGATCCGTCGGTGATATTTATTGTTTCAAAAACTTGCTCTCGTTAGTTGAAAAAGAAATTACACAAATAATGCAAATCAAAGTCAATGGATCAATCGAATGTTCATGAACAAATTAAAATTTTTAATTATTATACCTTTCCTAGCTCCAAGTTGTACAAGCAAAGACCGTTGGGAAGACAAGCTAACCACCTTGAACCTTTGATGGAGAGACATTCTTACCCTTATGACTAGGCAAAATGGCACCTAAAATCTACTCAACAACCTAGCCAGGTGAAGGGCAAAATGGAGCATTTGGCAAGATTCCTAACAAAGTCAAATTGCTAAAGTTTTGTAGTTGAATTTCCGGTCTAAATCATGAAGTATTAATTTTATAATGGGTCACGATCCTTTAATTACCTAGCTCGCTAGCGATTACTATAAAAAAGCTAGGCAGTACCATATTCATTCCACAAAGATTATATATTAGAATTAGATAGGGATAATAATCAAAACATATGTACTAATTTCCCAATGGAGCTCAAATTTGCAGGAGGGAAGGCGTCGCCAAAGAGAGATCATCAGTTTCGCCTTTTCCGAGCTCGGAATCAACTATCAAGGACTAGCTAGCAACACAAGAAGCAATAGTGATCTTCTTGACGCCATTGCTAATGCAAACGGAGGAGGCCACGCCGGTTCGCAGACGGAGGAAGATAATGGAGTTGTGAGGTTGAAGATTGTCGTACGGAAGCAAGACTTGAAGCAAATGTTAGAAGCCATGGGGGGTTGTAGTAAAAATAATAGCATGAAACAAGCAGATTTGCCTTCTTTGTCCGTGGAACAACGACTGAATCTTTTGCGGAAGAAGCACCACATTTTGAAGGCCAATTTAGCAAAGCAGAACCGGATTAGGAGTTCTTGGAGTCCTGTACTTCGGAGCATTAATCCTGAAGAACTTTGAGTTTGATCATCAGTATATGTTTTTCACTGGTGTTTATATTATCACATGTTTTCACTGGTGTTTATATTTTTATTATTATATTTTTTTTTTCTTTTCCTGTTATGATTGTTGTAAATTTTGTTTAAACTCATCTGGAAATAGAAGTATTAATCTTTTTATTTCTGTTTAAGCTACCACCAAATTTGCCTAAGTTGAGTTATTTATATTAACATTACAATGTTAATCCAGTTAGAGCCTTCAATCTATCTAATGTAATTTCCTTAGCTTCATGCAAAAATTGAAGGTATAAGTTATTGCCAAAGGACTTGGACAACAGAAAATTTCAAACGGTGCCATTTTACTTTAGCGGACGGTCTCCTAGCATCAATGGCTAGACCATAAATTTGATTTTTTTTTTAATGATCGAGTTCAGTATGAAGAATATAATAATAAATAATTTTTTTTTATTAAATAAGAGCATGCGCGACATTTCCAAATACGTCAGTGAGTATGTATTTAACTGAAAAAACATGTAAATGTAATAGTACTATTAAATTTGAGGAATGCTAAATACTTTATTTACAGATTTTAGTTTAATTTTTTAATACGTGTCATCTCTATTTTTTAAAACAAACTAACTTAATAATAAGTCATTCTTTTTATACTTATTTACAAAAATATGATTACTCTCTTTTGCCTCCTAAATCTAACAACCCTACATATTCCCGTGGATGAAACGAAAAAAAAAGGAGAGTGAGAGTAGCTTGCATACAAGGAAGTGTTATTTTTCTCAGTGGGCAATTGGAAAATTTTGGTGTGTAATTCTCTTAAAAAGAAGAAAAATAAAACAACTCCTAAGATATATAATTTTGCTTCAATTTTGTTTTTATTTTTGTTTTCAATGGTTTTTCCTTTTCTTTTTCATTTTTTTCCTTTGATGCGTCTGATATATGTTTTGGTTTCTCTTATGTATATAATTTGCTCCAGTTTTAATTCTTTGTTGTTTATGGTTTTTTCTCTTCTTCTTTTTTTTTTTTATGCTCCATTCTTTTATATATATATAATTATGTTATATTCTTGTTATGTTCATCAACTTTTTGCTTATATGCTCCATGTTCTTTGGTTACAAATTGTATGTTTTAGTATCCGATTATGTATTGAATATCTCTCTCTCATTTTTTTTCCTCCTATTATAGGTAATCATGAACTTAAATGGGTGCCTCAAAGAAACTCTGTAAGATCGTAGAAGCCAAATGCTGCAGCAAAATGTGTACTTTAGGAGTTATTTTTGTCTTTTTCTCCTTAAAACTCCTAAGAAAATTTTTTTTTTTTTTTTTTTGGCTTTAAATCATTGAATTTAAGAGGCAAAAGAGAATAATGACATTCTTGTAAATAAGTGTAAAAAGAATGACTTATTATTAAGTTATTTTATTTTAAAAAAAAAATAAAAATGACACGTGTTAAAAATTTAAATTAGAATTTATAATAGAATCTGTATTTAACATTTCTTTAAATAAGAAGAAAGTAGAGATGAGAAAAGAACAAGAGGGTTTTATACCTAGTTCTAGTATGTAGAATTGCCGCGAAGATCGAGTATGCTGAAGCTCGTACGCAAGTGAAAATTAGAAAGGTAAATTCTACCTCTGAACACCAGCAATAATCAATAATTGTTGTAACTTGTAAGAGAAGAGGATGAGAATAGTTTTTGTTTTGTTTTGTTTTGTTTTTTTGTTTTTGTTTTTATTGATAGATGAGATGAGTTCTATATAGTAGGCTACTGAAAAGTAATCCGTCACCATACATGGCAATGCTAAAACTTTAGCTCGCCTTGTTTGCGATTTACAATCATATTTCTGGTAAACTTCAAGATTTGCAATTATAATTCATGTAAATTAAGTGCCATATTTTTTTATAAAAAAAAAATTAAAAGTACCGAGTACAGAATTAAGTTCCTAATCATGTATTAGTGTTCTATTGAGAAAGGAAGCTGGGCCTGTGCCATCAAGATCCACAATGTGTCTAATGGGCCACGACATCCATTAATCAATTTTATAGAAGGTAAAAATACGGTAGAAAATAGGCAAATATAAGAAGTTTAAGAAAATATATAAGTTAATTTTTAGTTATATAAATTAATAGGTCATAATTTGTTAAGTTATGGTTCATAATTAGATAAATTATGGATAAACTTGTTAAGTTATGGTTCATAACCAGACAAGTTATGGACAAAAACCGTGAATTATGAATAATAACTTGTCAAGTTATGGTTCATAACTAAACAACTTACGGATATATTAGTGTTCTATTGAGAAAGGAAGCTGGGCCTGTGCCATCAAGATCCATAATGTGTCTAATGAGCCACGACATCCATTAATCAATTTTATAGAAGGTAAAAATACGGAAATGGTAGAAAATAGGTAAATATAAGAAGTTTAAGAAAATATATAGGCTAATTTTTAGTTATATAAATTAATAGGTCATAATTTGTCAAGTTATGGTTCATAACTAGATAAATTATGGATAAATTTGTTAAGTTATGGTTCATAACCAGACAAGTTATGGACAAAAACCGTGAATTATAGATAATAACTTGTCAAGTTATAGTTCATAACCAAACAACTTATGGATAAAACAGTAATTTGACTTATTTATTAACTTATGTAAACTATTAACCTATTAATTTTAATTCATCTCAAGTCTTGAATATTGAAGAAAATGAAATTCAACTCAAAATAATAACAATAATAATTACATTACGTTTTTCAATTGATTTAAAGAAATTTTTACTAAAGAGTTGTTCTTTATAACTACTGTTACGGATTATTGTTTTAATTGTTAGACTATTTCAGTGGTTTAATATATAAATGAAGCAATTTTGAATCCGCATTGTAAATTTTTTGATGTGAAACACTTATAACAGATTATTGAAAAACCTAATCCATTGTTAAAGAGCACATATGTTATGACTATTGTTGAAGTTTTATTTATTTCAAGGTAGGCTCCGACTGAAAGTCAACCCTTTTTTTTATTTTTTATCTTTTGTGTGTGTAAGAAAACTGTAGTGGCGTTTCTACAGGGAAAGTGTTCTCCTTTTTACCGACTCTAATAAAATTTGATCGAGCAAAGAGAAATAACAAGAAAAAAAGAAAAAAAAAGAAGAGTTTTTCTATGATCTTTCTACTGGTACAATATGATTTATACCGTTAAATAATTAAATCACATCAAATCAAATAAAATATATGGAACTGAAAATTTCTCATACAAATGTCAGAATATTTCATTTTTTCTAATCTTTACATAAAAACTCAAAAAAAAAAAAGAGAGACAGAAACATGGCAATTGTGAAGCGACTCATCTTCGCCAATGGGATTGCACCAGAGGCTCCTTCTATTGGCGCTTTTCTCTTTCGGTCGTTTTTTTTAAAAAAAAATGCAAATGTCTAATTACCCCTCGAGTTCGTTTTTCTCTGTTTCTCTCTGTCTTGGTCTACGATTTGCGAAGCAAAAGTTCCCTTTTTTTAAAAAAAAAAAAAAAAAAAAAGGGCCAAATGGATCGAAAAAAACGTCACTTCTCGCCGTGAAGAGGACGCGTGGTGGGATATTCAGAGAATCACTCCTCGCGCTTTATGACACATCACTTCAATTACCAACATACTTCGAGCTTCTAGCGAATCTCGCCTCTGCTTCTTTCAATGGTTTATATTCTTCTTTTTGTTCTTCTTCTTCTTCTTCATAATTTGCTAATTTCGTGATTGAATCCTTATTGTACGGCGTCGTTTCGTTTCTTTCCTTTTCCTGTTCGGATTGATTTCTTTCGATTCTTTGATCCCCGAGACGAAAGGTACCTTTTTGGTTCTCTTGGATGGATGATAGACTTTAATCTGAGTAGAATTTTCTTCTATTTCAAGAAAAGAGAGAAAAAAAAAGTTGGATTTACTCAAATTGTTATTTCGTTTGTGGTCAATTTCGCTTTTACTGCCCTTGTAAGAATCGCGTATATACGTTTGAAATGTTAGACTCTTCCCCCCCTCTCCTTGCGTGAAACAGAGGAGAGAATCTTATAAGCAGGAACTCTATTTTGTGTACCCCATCCCATGATATTATGAACTTTAATAGGGATTTCTTTTTCTTTAGTTAAAGTTGCTAAGGAAATGGTGCATTTTAGTTATTTCCACATGATTTCCGTTTTTAGTTATTTCTTTGTATTATGATATATCTGGGGCTCTCTGGCTTGATATTGAACCTTGATCTTTCCTCATTCTGTTGTTATATTCACCCCTTTTTCTTTTTTATTTTCGTTCTTGTTTTTAAACCAGGAGATGCTAATATTCTACACGTGCTTACGTCAATTATTTAAATCAAACATAGCGTAGATATTAGTGAACAATGAAAAGCAAAGGACCAGCGAGGTGCATGTGTTTGAAAACTAAGGGTTTAGTTCTCATTTTGAGGACTACCCTTTTGCTGTAATTGAGTTTTCTCCCTCTTTGTAATTTTTTAAGATGTGATATTGAATGCAGAAGCAGAGAAGCTCATTGTCTAGGCAAACTTCTGCTCCAATGCCGGAGTACAACGGTGCTGAATATGTTCCTTTAGGGGAGGGATCTTCTCCCAAGTTAGAAAGAATTCATAAGGTATCGGTTGTACCTCTTGTATTCTTGATCTTCTATGAGGTCTCAGGAGGGCCATTTGGGGTTGAGGACAGTGTCCAGGCTGCTGGTCCCCTTTTAGCCCTTCTTGGTTTTCTGGTTTTCGCGGTTATATGGAGCATTCCTGAGGCCTTGATCACTGCCGAGATGGCGACGATGTTCCCCGAAAACGGAGGATATGTAGTTTGGGTTTCATCAGCTTTGGGGTCCTATTGGGGCTTCCAACAAGGTTGGATGAAATGGCTAAGTGGGGTCATTGACAATGCTCTATACCCAGTTCTTTTCTTGGACTATCTCAAATCAGCAATTCCTGTGTTGGAGAGTGGTCTCTATAGAATAATTGCAATTCTGTTATTGACTGCTGTTTTCACTTACTTGAACTATAGGGGCTTGACCATTGTGGGTTGGGTTGCTATTTTGCTGGGGGTATTTTCGCTTCTTCCTTTCGTATTCATGGGATTCGTTGCGATTCCCAAACTAAAGCCTTCGAGATGGCTTGTGGTAGATCTTCAGAATGTGAACTGGGCATTGTACTTGAACGTTTTGTTCTGGAATCTAAACTACTGGGATTCCATTAGTACTCTGGCTGGTGAGGTAGAGAATCCGAGTAGAACGCTTCCGAAAGCTCTCTTTTACGCTCTTATCTTGGTTGTATTGGGATACATTTTCCCCCTTCTGATAGGAACAGGTGCTGTTCCAGTTCATCGTGAACTGTGGTCCGATGGTTATTTCTCAGAGATCGCGAAAATGCTTGGTGGAGTGTGGTTAAGATTTTGGGTCCAAGCAGCATCCGCTTTGTCAAACATGGGGATGTTCGTAGCGGAGATGAGTAGTGACGCGTATCAGCTTCAGGGAATGGCGTGCCGTGGGATGCTTCCTGCATTTTTCGGCAAGAAGTCTCGGCACGGGACTCCTCTCATGGGAATTCTATTTTCTGCCTCCGGTGTGATTTTACTCTCCTGGTTGAGTTTCCAGGAGATAGTGGCTGCAGAGAACTATTTGTACTGTTTTGGGATGATTATGGAGTTCATAGCATTTGTGAAGTTGAGAATGAAATATCCAGCTGCATCTAGGCCTTATAAGATACCTGTAGGCACAGCTGGTGCAATTTTGCTTTGTATTCCTCCAACCCTTTTGATACTCGTGGTTTTAGCTCTTGCTTCTTCAAAGGTCATGGTGATAAGCATCTTGGCAGTGATAATTGGGCTAGTTATGCAACCTTGTCTAAAGTACTCTGAGAAGAAGAGATGGTTGAGGTTCTCCGTGGAGTCTGACCTTCCAGATATCCTTTCTGCAGATCACCAGTGCAATGAACCATGAATATTGGTAAACAGTCGTTAAAAAAAATGAAAAAATGAAAAAAAAAAAATGCTAGCTTGTTTCTTTCTTTTTCCTTTTTTGCCCTTTAATTTTCTACTCCTGCCTGCAGATGGAAAGAGTTGAATTTCATTCACAGTCACATGTGGTTTGGAAGTGAGCTGCAAGGAGTATGCAAACCGCATAGAGGTTGCACAAGAGATGATGGAGGATATCAGCTTCAAGAAATACCAATTAGAGAAATGATGTAATGCACTAATGCCTGCCTTGAGCTACAAGAAATGTTCTAGCGGTTGTCTTGAGAAGCTTTATAGTGTAATTGCTCATTCACTGAGTTGCAATGAATGAAAGAAAACCCATGTTTTACCTTTTTGTGGTTTTCACTATTGTCTATTTACTTCTTGCAATGCTGATGTTTTTTTGACTAGCTGGTTTGTGCATATTATTTTTCATCTTCAGTTCGCGTGCTATGAGCTAGTTTATTACCAAAAACGAGGTCCTTTGTTTTTTCATTTTGGGACAAAGTAAAATCAGAAGAGTAAGGAGACTAGGACCATAGAGACACTCAAAGTGAGAGATTCCGGCAATAACAGATGAAGGATAATAGGCCGAAAGTGAGTTAATAATGGGGATTTGCGATGGTAACGGTGAGAAAAAAATATTAGATTATCTTCACTTGTGTGTCCGAATTTTGGAGTCAATCTTATTTTGTCTCTTAAATTTTAAAAGCTCTCAACTTGCATCTCAAATTATGAATTAGTCTCATTTAATTAGTTCAAATTGTGAATTAGTTTCACTTAATCCGTTCTAGACCATAAGGCTGTACTTGAGTTCATGTCTTTTTATCGGCTTTTAATAAAAATTCTAACAAAAAAGGTTAAATAGGACTATTCAAAATTTGAAGGTAAAAGTCAATTTTTGAAATTCAAGAATACAACATGAATGATGTGAAACTTCAAGTTACGAGTGAGAATAATTTGAAATTATTTTATGGTATACATTTATTAGATTATAAGTTGGGAGTTTCTTTAGTAGGTCTCTAAAAGATAAATTATTGAAAATTTCTGATTTTTAACCATCAAATCTGGTTAAATCCATATTTAATTAAAAAAATACGGAAAACATATAATTTTTAGCATATATCTAATAGTTGAAAAATGAGAATTACTAATGTCTCGTTCAATTCGTAGATTTGAGTTTTTAATTCGAGTTGAGATGTAATTTTATGTGAAAATTTTTTACTGTAATAAAAAAATTAAAATAGATGTGATTTTATGAGAATTTTTAATTATAATAAAATTAAAATAAAAAATTTAAATTAATGAAATAAAGAATGCCTAAAAAACTCGCTTATAATTAAGTAAATCCGAAGGTTTTATTTTACACACAACTTTGGTGAAACTTTAGAACATGTGGCAGCACTACCTACTGCAGAACATGTGGCCTTTGTTTGGGTGGGTGATGTTTGAATTTTTAATTTAAATTGACATATAATTTTATCTAAAATTTTTTTATTATAATAAAATAATTAAACATATTTATTTATAAAATTTTTTTACTGTAATAAAATTTAAAATGAACGGCATCTACGTAATAAAGTTTACAGTACATGCGTAATGAGACTGATTTTTCTTTCTTTTCCTTTTCGAAAGGACAATCAGCTTCTGCACTAAAGACTCCGACTGTTTCTTTTTTTTTTCTTTTTTGTTTTTTTTTTGTTTTGCGAGTATAACTGTATCAGTACTCGTTTTATATCACTTCCAGACTCTTGAGGAAAACGTAATGAAGTGACGCTTTTGATTCTCGGAGTGCTACTCCAAGGTTGCGACGTCACTTCTCTAGTGCTTCTTAGATCCTGAAACTCTCCAAAAATGGCCGCAACATTATCTCATCAGTACCACCACTGCCACAATTCCATATCAGCGATAAAACTTTCGGAGAAACGGCTAACCGATTCCAAGCCCAGAACTTCGATACCGATTCCAAGTTGTAGAAGAAAACCAAAGAACTCAATCGAAAATCGCCGAGATTCGTCGCTCAGACGGGCTATTCGGAATCATGTCGATTCTGGGCAAATGAGGGAAGCGCTTGAAATCTTCGAGAAAATGGATTGTTCCGAGACGTATGTTTGGAATCTTATGATTAGAGGGTTTACGGATAATGGGTTGTTTTTCGAGGCCATTAATTTTTATCGCAGAATGGAGAACCAAGGAATTCAAGCGGATAACTTTACCTACCTATTTGTGATCAAGGCTTGTGGTGCTTCGTTGTCGTTTTTCGAAGGACAAAAGGTCCATGGAAAGTTGTTTAAGGTTGGGTTGAATTCAGATGTTTGTGTCTGTAACTCGCTTGTTTCTATGTATGGGAAGTCTGGTTTTATCAAGCTTGCAGGCGAGCTGTTTGATGAAATGCCTGTGAGAGATCTCGTATCTTGGAATTCCTTGGTTGGTGCATATGTGGCTGTTGGGGATGGTAGAAACTCGTTAGCTTGTTTGTTGGACATGCAAGCATTTGGAATGACGCCTGATCGGGTCAGCATGATTAGCGCGCTGAAAGCTTGTTCCATAGAGTGTTTTATCCGAAGCGGGAAAGAAGTTCATTGCCAAGTTCTTAAATGTGGGTTTGAATTGGATCTCATGGTTCAGACTTCGCTTCTTGACATGTATAGCAAGTGTGGTAGGGTGGATTATGCGGAGAGATTGTTTCGAGAGATTTCTCAGAAAACTATTGTGGTTTGGAACGCGATGATGGGAGGGTTTGTTCTGAATTCGCAGCCTCAAAAGTCATTTGCTTGCTTGAAAAAGATGCAAGAAGATGATAACTTGAGCCCTGATGCTATTTCAATCATAAACTTCCTCCCCTCATGTGCCCAGTTTGGAGCCTTCTTGGATGGTAAATCTTCTCACGGATATGCCATTAGAAAAGGGTTTCTCCCTCATGTTGTGTTGGAAACTTCTTTGATTGATTTATATGGTGCCTTTGGAAAACCAAAATTGGCGGAATATATATTTGGTCAAATGGAAGAAAAAAGCCTGGTAACTTGGAGTTCCATGATTTCTGCTTACGTACAAAATGAACAGAATGAGGAAGCATTAAACCTATTTCTAGAACTCTTGATAAAGCCTCTACAACCAGATGCTATTACATTGGCAAGCGTCCTACCCGCATACTCTGAAGTGGCCACGCTTAAGGAGGGGAAGCAAATTCATGGTTATATATCAAAATCAGAACACCGCTCAAATACGTATATCTTGAATTCACTTGTCTACATGTATGCAAAGTGCGGCGAACCAGAGACTGCTCGAGCAATTTTTGACCGCATATTGTTTAGGGACGTGAGTTCATGGAACACTATTATTATGGCTTATGCCATTCACGGTTTTGGAAGAAAATCAATCGAATTGTTCTCCATGATGAGAGACGAGGGCATCAGACCCAATTACATCACATTTGTTTCCTTGTTAACATCTTGCAGCACATCTGGCATGGTCGACGAGGCGTGGAGATTCTATAACTCAATGAAGAGGGACTACAACATTGTTCCCGGGATAGAGCATTATGGCTGTATCCTTGATCTTATCGGTCGAACAGGCAATCTTGACCGAGCCAAGAATTTTATTGAAGAAATGCCATTGACACCCACAGGCCGAATCTGGGGATCATTACTAACGGCTAGTAGAAACCATAGAAATATTGAGCTCGCCGAACATGCTGCGGAACACATTTTTGCTTTGGAACATGATAATACAGGGTGTTACGTTTTGCTTTCGAATTTGTATGCCGAAGCTGAAAGGTGGGCAGATGTGGAGCGGATAAAATCACTAATGAAACAAAGGGGAATCAAGAAAACTGTTGGATGGAGCTTGGTTGAGAGTACTACATCAAGTAAGCCTTACAAGTTCATCAATCAAGATAAATCACACGTTCAAACAAACATTATCTATGATGTCTTGAGCATACTCTTGAGGAAGATAGGGGAAGAGAAAAGTGTCCATGGAATGATCAAGTTAAAGCCACAAGATTTGAAGAACAACAGAGCATATTCCGCAGAGAATCACAGTGTGAGATTGGCAATCTGTTTTGGCTTGATCTCCACAAAAGTTGGAAAACCTGTTCTTGTGAGGAAAAACACAAGAATTTGCAAAGATTGCCATAGTGTTGCAAAGAAGATTTCGGAGATTACCAAGAGAGAGATAGTAGTAGGGGACTCTAAAGTTTTCCACCATTTTAGAGATGGGAATTGCTCATGCGGTGATTATTGGTGACTGTTGGTAATTAAAAAAAGAAAAAAGGTTGGTGAATTTAACACGTAATCTGATCAGATTTGCATGTTGTTCAAACATCTTTATCAAGAAGATTATGTAGATATCAGACGTCATTTTGTCACAACAGCAATTAGATATATCAATTTAAATAGTGAATGTATCTAGCAAAAAAAATTCCATAAATGTATCTTATTCATGGAAATGACAAAAACGTTTGGATTTTGGATAATCTCTCTTTGTGGATAATATCCTACGCATAGAGCCCATAAATGAGTTGGCTCTTACGCCTTAATTTCATAGCATTTAATCATTAGAACATGCATCTTCACACCGACACAACACAACTACCCCACCACGAACGAGCCAATCTCCACATTTGCAAAACTTGAATACCCAAAATAATAAAAATAAAATAAAAACCTATATAATTCAAAGCACGATGTTGAAAGAATTACTACTACCCACCGAATTATAATAGGATAGCACATTGCACGCTACAAGTTTACCTTGATAGTGTGACATGACTCGTAAAATAAAATCCTTGTGTCTAACCACGACTGTATCCTTGTATCTAACCACGACTGTTTAGTTATGCATGGCTTGTTCTTTTGAGTGAAAAATTTAAAAAAATGCCGCTCGAGTTACAACTTTATTCGAGTTCATGTTCTTTTAAGTTTAAACTCGAGTTTAAGATTAAAATTCAAGTTCAAGTTTCTCCTTCAACTCGAGTTCAGAAACTCAAACTCAAATTAATAAATAATATTTTTTCTATTCTTAAAAATGCTATAACTTTTTCGTTTTAATTCTGATTGAGATGATTTTTTTTTCTATGCATTAACAACGAAAAGACGAATAAAACTCGACTCATATACCCTATTAAAATTTTTCATCAGCATTGAGTTTTTATTAAAATACTATCTAAATACAAATTTAAGTTTTGACTCACTCAAACACAAACTCAAAAAGATTTTTATCTCAAACCATAACTCAAATGTACACAACCAAACACAAACTCAAGTTACAAGTTCAACTCAAGTTATAACTCAAATTTAACTCAAGAATTATACTCAAATTAAACTCTAAAAGGAAAAAATTTGTCACAATGTGACAAATAACGACATGACATGTGTCCTTGCAAGTCCGAGGATCGACAAACCAACAAGGACCAAGATCAAGGGGTGGAGTTCTCCTGATCGATTAAGACGACATTATCAAATATCTCTTACTTATTTATTCAGACTAAAATAATGATTAAATTATTAAATTGACGTTTAATTCATAAATTTAAAATTATTTTTAAATTATATATATTTTTTTATAAAAAAAATATTATAATAAATTACGAATTATAATTTAAATAATCACACTAATCCTCCAACAAACATCTCACAAATATATCTCAATTGAAACATATCTCAATAGTCAACCTTGAACTCGGCGAGGGTCAGATTGAGATTACTGTGATACGTGTCAAGAGGTCAAGCTCGTTCACTTGTAGTACAACATGTGTTGATAATTATAAAAAGGTGATTGAGAAATATCGAGATATTTTCTGAACTGAGAAAATTCTTGAATATTTTCCTAGAACTCTAGACAAATAAAAAACGGCATGAGGAATCTTTTTAGTTAAATCATTAGCCTGAAAATAGAACATTTGTCTCGGCATTTAATTCATCCTTTTACCACCTTATTAATACTTTGCTATTTTTCCTCTCAAAGATTGGTTACATGTTTAGACTGTTGGAGTGCCCTCTCTGCAGATAAACCTCCGGTAGGATTGATGTTTATAAATCCACTCCGACACTTAAAATTTACAATTTTTCTACCAAAATAAGTTTTCTGCAAGTGGTTATATTTCTATTTATAATTTCAGTGGTCAAATTTATAATAGCCTTTTTTCTATAAAGAAATTTAAAATAAATTGAGATTCCGTTTTTTTACCATTCAGATTGAAATTTCTAACTCGAGTCCAGCAATAATGTGATCACTGTTTATTTACTCCAATCAAATCAAAATACAGTTGCCCATTTTTATTTACAAATCATCCAATCATCTCAAAAAATTCATGAGAGAGAATCTTCTATTTACAGAGAAGTGCTATCAACCAGTCAAAACCCGAACTTCCAAAAATGCCCCTCGTCTATCCTTCTCTCAGTCAACTTTCTCGTCGTCTTCGTCTTCCTCATCATCATAATCTTCCTCCTCCTCCTCCTCCTCCTCCTCCTCCGCACTATCTCTTATTTTTCTTCTATCCAATACCAATTCCCCAAACACCTCCTTCACCATCCGCGAAACGACGTCGCAGAGCCACCCGAAGCAGCCATACTCGCCGCCGCAACCGCACAAGCACGTCTCCTTGAGCCTCCCGAGGAATCCTCCTCTGTCGCCGAACGACGTCGTCGGAGTGGACATCGGCTGGAGATACGCCATGGCCGCGTGCTTCACCAACGGATTCCTGATCGGAATCTCGTGCCAGCTCGACGACGGCGTTGGCGACATCGCCGTCCCCGCCGCCTGCAGAAGGTCCTTCAAGCTCGTGTACTCGGTGGAGGAGGAGGCGGACTGCTCGATCATCATTTCGATGTCTGGAATCTGAATTCGCGCCGAGTGGAATCCGTTCTGAGACGAAGGCCTCGGAGACTGAGAATCGGATTTCGGCAGCGGAAAATCCTTGCTCCGATCCTTAAATACGGCGGCTTCCATGGAAGTGGATTTGAGAAGCTAATTTCCTTGATTTTCTCTGAAGGACGAACATGGGAGATTTTCTCGGAGAAAGAGAGAGACAAAGAGGAAGAGCAAAAATGGATTTTTTTATTTATAATGGATGTAGAAATTAGTTTCTTGAGTGTTTGTAAATTGTAAACAAAGGGAGGAATTTTTTTTTTACGTATATTTATTTATCAGAAATTTTTATTTTGGCACTATTATCTTATATATATAAATAAATTATTTTGGAATAATGTCCATCAAAATGATATGAGAATTTTGCAGTGAAATGAAACACGCGGAAAAAAAAAGATTTTAGTTGTTTATTTCTGATCATATTTATAGAATTTATTATTTATAATTATAAATGATACGGATATAATAATTCAATTTTGTAATATTGTGGTTTTGATTTGATAATCATGTACATATAAGGCAATGGCATTTAGCTGTATTGGTTTAGACTTCTCTTTTTTGAAGGATGGCTTTGCTGTCTAATAATAAACATGTCTTATTATGCACTGTACGGCATTAAAAAAAATTTATTTGACTTGCATTTCCTTTTTTAAATGAAAGTTAAATTTGAAAGTCATCAGACGGATTGCCTAAAAGGAACCATCAGTTTATAAATAACAAAATAAGGGCTTGCACCCGAATGAGTAATATAAGATGATTATAGTTATTGAGGATATAATTTACTTATGTTGCAAGTAATTTTTATCAAGTATATATATATTTTTAAATGAATTTAGACTTTGTCTAACTCATTTTCTTCGTTTGCCATTTGACAATATATAGAATCATATAAATTTTAGTGTTATGAAGTGAATCCTCAATTACTAATTATTTCATATTACGATTGATTAAACTACTAGTTTTAGTTTGGTTGTGATATAACACCATGCCTTGATAGGAAATAACATTAAAAGAAAAAATAAGGAAGAAGTACGGTTAGTGGCGAGATAAAGTTAAAGAATTTACTATAATCCCACACCGAAAGGTCAAAGATCTCGACATCAAGGAATATATAAAGGTTGACTTATTCAAAGCAAGCGCCTTTTTTTTTTAAAGAGAGAGAAAGAAAGAAGCTAATTATGTTTTGCTAACAGTCAGATGGGAGAGTATTGCATGATTATTCCTTATACTAGTTCGAATTATAATTTAAATTTTTTTAATAATATTTTTTTTCATAAAAATTTAAATTTAATTTTTTTAATATAATATTTTTTTCACATAAGTTTATTTTTTAACTCAAATGTTTAATTAAAATGAGTGAAAAAAATGAGGTGTTAGTTCTTTTATAAATGTCACGGAGGTCCTAACATTACTCCGAGATTTTGGCAGCCAATGGCTCTGAGTCTTGACAAAACGATGCAAATGGAAGGACCATTGCAAAACATTCAAAATTGAGTGCAAGCCATTGGTCGTTTGGTCACTACACCGGATTCACATTGGGGACAATATATTTTCCTCATGTTGTTGCTTGAAAATTCTTTTTGTCTCATATATATATATATATATGCATAATTGAGGCCCCATCTCAAATTTGTCCAGCCATTCCAAACGTATAGCAAACGCTTTTTTATATGACTATTGTTGTGTATGTTGACGTAAGGACAGAGAAAAAATTTATTTCACATATTAATTTTATGTGCCATTTTCTAGGCTACTAACATTAACAGTCGATAGTGTGTTGGGATTGATTGGTTGGTGAGGCACATGCAGGCTAAATAAATAAACTTGGCTTAGTGTTATGTTTGTCATATTCCCTAATTACTAGTTGCCACAACCCATAAGCTGTAATCTACCAACCAACTCACAATAACAACAATCAAGAAGTCCACGTGGCACTCACCCATTAGAGAAGCAAGAACAAAATAATAATAATAATCTCTTGAATTTTTTTTTAGGGATAAACTTCTCTCTATTCTCCTAGTTGAACCGGACATTACAACGCTTCTAGTCTATATAGCATCGCTGTCCCATTTGGCCTTTTTCTTCACAACCCAACCAAGTAAATAATAAACATGTATAAAAAGAAACATCACAAAGCTCTTTGTTTCAACACCTAGAGAAATTATTAGCACCAAAAATGGAAGCCGCTCAAACCAACAACCAAAGAGGCTCATCAAGAAAAAATCCTACACTCGAGTCCCTCTTTGCTCGTGATTCCGTTTCAGAGAACGAGAAAATCCTCTCTCTAATCTCTCACTGCATAATCATCTTCACATGCACCGATCCATCCGAATCGCCTTCTCAACAAGAGCTCAAACGCCAGAACCTTATTGACCTCTTGTCCATCATAAAAGCCTCAAAAAAGCCTCTTCATGATCAAGTTATATCACCTCTAATGGCGATGATTTCCGCGAATATTTTCCGTCCACTTCCTCCTCCTTCCAAACCTTCCTCATCGATCACCGCGGACTTGGACTTATTCCCTGACAATGAAGAAAACCCCATTTCAAAGCTCTCAAGAATGTGGTCACATCTTCAACTAGTCTACGAAATCCTCTTGAGACTAGTCATAAACACCGACACGAGAAAACTTGGTCCTTACATTGATCACCCCTTCCTTGTGAGCCTCCTCTCGCTTTTCCAATCGGAGGACCCCCGAGAGCTAGAGAGCTTGAAGAACGTCTACCACCGGATATATTCCCGCTTCACCCTCCACCGATCCTTCATGAGGAAGGCGATGAACGACGTGTTCTTGAACTACGTTTTTGAGACCGAAAGGCATAGCGGGGTCAGGGAGTTGCTCGAGATATGGGGAAGCATAATAAATGGCTTCACTGTGCCACTAAAAGAGGAGCACAAGTTGTTCCTCATGAGAGTGCTTATTCCTCTACACAAGACCAAGGGAATGCAGGGTTACCACAGGCAGTTGGCGTATTGTGTGTCTCAGTTTGTGCACAAGGAGCCTGTGCTTGGTGGGGTTGTTGTGAGAGGGATTTTGAAGTATTGGCCTGTCACCAATTGCCAAAAGGAGGTTTTGCTTATTGGGGAATTGGAGGAGCTTGTGGAAATTATAGACACTGATCAGTATAGGAAGTTAGCCCTGCCTTTGTGTACTCAGATTACAAGGTGCTTCAATAGTTGGAACGCTCAGGTAAACTCTTTTAACAATTACATTGTCCCAAAAGCTACGGAAAAACAACCTACTGGTATAACATATTTTTCAACGTCAAATTACATAAGAATCATATCAGATTGAAAAAAATGATAACTTAATAGAACTTGATAAAGTTGACCGTCAAAAACTATATTCTACCATCGGGTATTTTTCATACCTACCAAAGAATTATCCCATTTCTATTATGTTAAAGCTGTATTCTTTTTTTCTGTTTTGAGGTCTTCTGTTGTGTTACTTGGAGTATCCCTTTTTTATTTAACTAAAAAAATGAGAGAAAAATAAGTTTTGTAATCTGATAGTAAACAATAGACATGTCAGCTTAACAATCGAATTAGAGTCGGGAAATTATTACAAAATCACCTACAAAACCCTTCCCCAAGTTCATTTGAAGTCCTCCTAGAGGTGACTAAGGGAAACACTACTTGATAAAACCTACTAAATATTTTTTATAGGTTGTCCGAATAGAAAGTTCACATAGCTCAATGGTCTTGCACTTCTTAGCAAACTAACTGCTTTTAAACTTATTGCCCAAAAAGCCAATACTTCTAAAACACCCTTCTTTTTTTCTTTTCCTTATTTTTCCCCCCTTTCTCAATTAGTCTCTCCTATAACTCTTAAAATAGCAGATAATAATAATGGCTGTATTGTCTTGGATTGTAGGTAGCTGAGAGGGCCCTCTATGTTTGGAACAACGAACACTTTGTGAAAATGGCATCAATGGCAATGGAAGAAGTGTTTCCAATTGTAGTGGAGGGAATGGAGAGGAACCTCAAGTGGCACTGGAGCAAGAGCGTTCGCCAACTGACCGAAAACGTGAAGGTGATGTTTATAGAAATGGATCAAATTTTGTACTCCAAATGCCTTGAAGAGATTAAACGCCGAGAATCCACGGCTCGCCAAGCTGAGATCAAGAGGAAGGAGAAATGGGACAGAATAGAAATGGCAGCGGCCAAGAACCATCGCTTCGTACAACAAAAACAACCACCTTATATTTTTGTGTCTCACTGATAGGAACAATGCTTGTTTTAGCAACCAATTTTTGGCAACAAAATATAGTTATCCCTCATGTGAAACCAACAAAGCACCAAATGCCACAAGCCACCATATGTATCTATGTATGTATATATACGTGATACATGTATAGGTGTAAGTGTGTATATGATGCACGTATTGTATTATATGGTATATAAGAATGATTAGCCACTAGTCGCAAGAGACATAAGTTACCAACGATCATGGCGTTCCGATTGTTCTTTTGATAAGGTAATAAAGAATGTAACGACAAAATAAAATGTCATATTACAAGAAGAAAAAAGCCTTTTGTCTTTGATTTTTTTTTCTTTTTTGTTTTTTTGATAATAATTTTTTGTCCTGAAGTTGCTCAAGGGTTGATTTTTTTTCTATGAAGATCAAGAAAAACAAGGTCAATCAACTAACTTGTTGCCGGCCACTATTTACGGTCGTTAGAACTTAAGGATTATGCAACTTTATGGGTTGGTTGGAGTCGTTTTGAATTGCGCAAAAGAGATATTTATAGACACAATAGGGACAAATTTCTTTTATTATTATTTTTATTTAGGGGAATAAGTTATAACCGAATTAAATTCAATATTAGGCTCGCTCTTCTAAAAACTGAATAATGCCGAAGTTCTATAGCAATAGCATACAACTCACTTAAAAAAAAATTATGTCATTCAACATAATTTAAAACGGTATTTTAAGTAAATAGACGATTAAAATAAAGAATATATTTACAAAATATAAATAATTAAATTACTAATAAATATTTGAAGTAAATAATTTTATTTACCAATAAATAATCCACTCATATTCTAATCTACAATAAAAGCCTTTAATTTGAGAAATTTTGCCAAATACCTTTTAAAAATATATGAGTTTTCATTTTTATTTCATACACTTGATTAATATTTTTTTAATTAAATAAATTAACAAAGCATACTAAAGAAAAAAGGAAAAAGTCGAGACTCGTCAAGGATAAATTGAGCAAATTTTTTTTTAGAATTACCACAAAAAAAATAGCCCATAGTTTTTGCGGGGATGAAAAGTCATATTTGCCCCTTTTATCCCTGTTATTTACCTTTTGTCGCTGTAGAAGACGCTGTTGGGTGTCTTTTCGTGAGCTGTATCCTTCTCCGTCTCCGTAGCGGAACAGAATCAGAAGAGCTGTTCTTCTTCTTCCCGTAGGACGAGGCGATTTGTTCGTTTAATAATCTGGTAAGAGAAACTAGCGAGTGATCAGCTTATGTTTAAACCTTTTCGATATTATTATGTAGCTAGATTTTACTAACCGATTCCCTTCTCCTCCTTCTCGGTTTTTTTTTTTCTTTTTTTTAATTTTGTAATCCTTCTTCTTAGGGGTTTAAGCTTTTTCGTTCTTCTCTGTAGATAAAGCTCAGTCCTTTAATCAAAGATGGTCGTCCATTCTCAGTTCTCGGCAATTTCTTCAGGTTTTTAATCGCCTTCTCTCTCTCTCTCTCTCTCTGAATTTTTTTCTCGTATTAGTTGTTATTAACTCCGTTTAACGGTTTGCACAGGTTTGATTCCTATATTCAATCAGTCAAGACTACCATTCCAGAATCGGAAATACAATGGCAGAAAATTCAGTAATTTCAATGGCGTCAAAGTAGTAGTATCATCTAGAAGGGTAAGCTTACTTTCATTTCAAAGGGTGATTTTTTTTCTTTTTCTTTCTAATTTATCATCTCCACACAATACTCAATCGTTCGAATATATTTTTTTTCTTTGTGTCAGATTTTAAGAGGCAGAGGCAGTATCCGAAAATCTTGTTCTTCTGGATTTGGTACTAATTATGTTGTTCGCATGGGAAGGGATTCTTATCAGTCCACCTTTGATGATGACTTGCCTCAGGAACCTTTTCCTCTAACTCTTGTTAAAGAATTCATCTGGTATTCTGTCTTCTTGCACTGTTATCCTCAATGCTTAGACACTTTAATAGGCCCAAGAGATGAGGAACAAAAAAAAAAAAATATATATATATATATATATATATATATAGAAAACCCAGTTGGTGGAATTGCTTAAGAATGATATGAATTTGTTAATTTGTTTGGAAAAGTTGAGATAAGCACACTGATTTACAGTTGCTGGTGTTTGAATTGTACTAATACATAGGGGGATAAGATCTCTGTTGGCTTTTCTGGTTGAGCAGCCTAGTCAGCTCAAGTACATAGAATGGCCTGGCTTCTCTAGCACGGTACGCGTCACAACTGTGTACACTAACACAGTTAGAAAGGCGTTGATTTTTTGAGTTTTTAATTTTGTGAAACAAATACTAAGAATTGAGAAATGTGCTACATATTTCATGTTGAATGGATAAATGCTTATTTGTTTCCCTATTCATTTTGATGCAGCTGAGGACAGCTACTCTGACTCTTGTTCTTGTAGCGCTGCTGATTGTGGCACTTTCATCGATCGACTCTGCCCTTAGCTATCTGTTGGCTATACTTCTACGGAGAATGCTGTAACCGACTTCACAGATAGACGTATGTTCCAACTCGGGCATTGTGGAAGCTTTGCAGCAATGGCCGTCTCTTTAATTTAGTAGCAATGGTGATTGAGAAGCACTGCATAGTCTGAAGAGTTTAAATAAACTGTTTGTTGTGTTAGTGTTACTGACTTGGACGGCTACAGGACAAAAGCAGGATTCAAGCAAAGGACAGGAATTTTGTGTTATTTAAAAGAGTGAAAAACAATGTGAAATTGTTGAGGTCTTTCTCTTCTTATGATGCTAGTTATGGCGAAGATGCATACAAGTGTTCTAACCCAAGCATTTGGAAATTTCCCGAATGTGATTGTAATTAATCCACCTTTTCTTTTTCTTAGAGATCCTAAACCCTCATAGCAGCATTAAATTTGAAACAAGATTTCTGTTCTCTCCTGTTCAGATGGGGGGGTGGGGTGAAGCCAGAAACTGTAATTGCTCCCCAGAAGGTGGCCTAAAGAAATCTTATGGGAACAATCGAAGACCTGACTGCGGCACCCGCACTTCTGAAGAAACAGAAAAGTTTGTCGCAAAAACCTAGTTAAATATGAGTTGAATTTTTCAATTTTTGCATGATGTATCCTGAACTTTTAATGTTGACAAACTGCACTTTTAACTTTTAAGGGTTTACTTTTTTACATGACTTGAGTTATATGTGAAAAAAAAAACTAGTAATAAAGTTAAATTTGAATTTTTTATGAGAAATATTATAATAATATTACTTGAGTCATGAAATGAATATATCTTAAAATTAGTTGCAATTAATGTTCAACAACTGTTGAATGTTATCAAATTGACAATTTAATCACATGAAAAGCAAAGATAATTATTTTTCAAACCATATCACGTGTAAATTTTTGTATCTCAAATTGTCAATTTGATAATGTCATCAATTACTTTAATTACAACTGATTTTAAAATTTAAGATGCAATTTGTCAAAATTAAAAGTTTAAGGTCCATTATGTAAAATCCAAATGGTCCAGGGGGCAACAGTACAATTTACTAGTTAAATATGCATAAAACTTCACAGTTTGCACTAATCAAAATGGAGCACAAATCATATAGAAAGTAGGGAAGTTTAAATAGAAAAATTACAGTTAAGCGAAAAAGAAAATAGGGGAAAAAAAAAGGGAAAGGTTTACTAACTTGTATTAAAACAAGATGCAATTTTCAACCAATAGATCAAACAGTAAGGTTACAAAGTATTTTATTGTTCTCACTCCCACGCCCGCTTAATGCAGCAAGAATCACTGATTGCCATTCTTAAAAATAAAGGCTACACTTCCTTAAAATTGGACTGTATATGAAACATTAGAAAATTGGAATCCGCAATTCAAAAAACCCTTATACAAAATCTCTAGAAAAAAGACAACCCTATCCACTAAAAATTGCTAATTTATGAAAAATTTCAAACCTAAATGAAAAATGATGATGATTCCCACATTTGAATGAGACATCTATATTATAAAAAATGATGACTCCAATGACTGACTTGACTGTTTCTTTGCCTTCAAAACAAGACTCCAAGAACAAAAACACCCTCAAAGCTTGGAAAGCCACACCACCCCTGTACACCAGCCATTCCCAACCCTGAGTAGCTTCACTTTTCTCAAGTACTGGATGAACCCATGGTAACATTTGAAGAGGTGTAAATGAATTCAAGCTTCGATTATTTCAACGGCTAAGTTTCCTCCGACGTATTGGGGACCAATATTTGATCTTTGCTCAAAAGAATCATGACCACAGTGTTACTGGACAATCACAAAAACGATCAACAAAGTTGATCCGGACAAACAGCTCTGGTGAGCACAGAGAGCCAGCAGAGAGAGCACGTTATGAGAACGGGTTAAACTTGATATTTTGATAGCCTCTCCTTTACTGGGGGATCCAAAGCAGACATACACTGCTCCCATGCTCCATTCACAAGCATCTGCAACATACATATTGGAAAGGCAACGATAAATATCATCCAATTCTTTTCAAATGGTTCAGGGGTCATGTACATATGTTTTATGTTTTTCCTCTACTAGTGAGTGAGAGTGACAAGAATCTTAAACAAATTAAAAAACGTCTCAAAATATTCTCTGAAAGGACAAACTAACCAGCTTATACCCATGTAACACCTGGCAAACTTCATTATGGAGCTCCTCACTCCTTATTTCCTGTGGACATATTCAGTCAAGACTTGAGCTTTATCTAGAAAACACAGCACACGCAAGATACAAGGACAAAGGTTGTCATACTTACATGCCAACTTGCAATAGCTTGGCACATAGAAACCATTGAACTTAATGCTCCGGATGGATTTGCTCTAACCTGAACATTATAGACCCCAAAGTAGAGATATTACGATCATATTGGTCCAAAAATAATAACAATTTCTTAAGAATGCAGACACATACCATCGCACATAGACCTCGGAATGCATCCTCTTTTTCAATGTCATCACGTATCCTGCCACAATTAATTTTTTGTGAGAAATTATGTGCGCGCATGCGTGTGCACATATAAGAAGTTAATATTGACATCATAAAAACTTACATAGACAAAGCAGTGCACCATGCTTGCATGAAATGCTCCATATGTGGAGACACAAGCTCTGGACAAACCCATGCAAGCCTCCCAAGAGTGATAGCACTATTTTCGATAAGTGATTTATTGAGCCCCTGAACAGCATTAACAGATGCACTTAAGAATGATGCATCATCCACAATACACATTGTTATATGAAAAAAAACATACGAACTATGAAGCAATCACCTCTGCATGGAGAATGGGGACCAAGCGTGAAATGACTGTCATAACAACTGGAGAAATTTCTTGACGAACCTGAAAATAAAGTTACATCGGTGATAATTACATTACGGAACTCTTCTAGCAGAAGGAAAATTTTCTATAATTCTAGTTTAGAAACATGAGAAACCAAACTAATGTGACGCACACCTAGTATAACAGGGCAAAGTCCAAGAACCATATGACAAACTTTATATACTGAAAAACCCTTATCAGGGGTACTTACGATTTCTGTAATATAAATGGGCCAAGACCCTTGCAGTGATAACGACACGTAAATCCAAAAAGATTTTTCCTATTTGAAGCCATACAATGTAAATATCAGACGCAAATTACATAGTACGTACCTTTACCGCTAGTTCTCCAATTGCCCAGCATGCATTATTTGCAACCGAGACAGTTTCCTTAAGCTTAAGAGTGTTCTGTACATAAACATGTCAAATAAAAAAGAAGGGACTATAAAGTCGCTACTAAAAATCATGCATTGAATTTCACATACCAATTGCTTTGCTGCAACGTCAAGAAATTCAGGTAAACGAGGTCGCAAATGAACAGGACAAACCTAAACAGATCATAAAGAACATGGAACAATATGAGAAGATGAGAAAGATGACAAACTACATGACACCTGAAAAAGTATCTAGTAAGAGTCATCGGCTTTGTGACTCAGACACAGGGCACAGCTCCAACACTAAATTGTTTCTTAAGGAAATTTATTTGGTAAAATTTATTAGGTAATATTTATCACCTAATGAACTACCTTATTAGTCTGTCAAAGGATGGGAAAGAAACCTATTCATGAAATTTGTTTGATCATTAGGTGAATATGCTATTTGTCTTCCACTTACTCTAGCAAGATCGCCAAGTAGTGCAAAGGCACTTTGTCTGATATCAGAAGCATCATCTATGCAAGATTGCAAAAGCAGGTCTACCAAATTACTTTTTGAAACCTGAAGATAAAAAACATGCACAGTGCATAAATATACAAACTACAGATTTAAGTTCAAGGTCACACATAATGATATACACCACTTCTATTACGTGTACATAAAAAAGTGAAAACTGGATGAGTAAAAGTTCCAATAGCACAAATACCATTAAAGGAACACACAAAGTCATAGTGAATAATGCAAAATACGATGCTAGAAACATAAAAGGGATCCATATTTGCATCATTTCCCCATTAAAGAGCATCTACGCCAGAGGGCATTTAGTAAAAAGAATATAGTTTTAAGTAATTATGGAGAAACGAGAATACCAAACTCTCTATCCCACTTCCAAGACCTTCTGCAAGTCCGGAGAGCAGATCAAGCGAGCATACAATAAACTCTTTGTCATACTGGGCCCCAGCAGAAACAGGATCAACCTGCAACAGAAGTCCAAAGCATACTTTAAAGAAATAGCAAGTTGTGCCAACGGTTAATATATTCAGACAATTCAAACATCTCACAAAAATTGACTGAATGAAGGCATAAAGAAACATGCTGTACACTCAACAGTAGAAAATCAGAAGTTTGGAAAAGCTTTATGCAATACGAAAATGAGAATTGGTCGGATATCAACAGTTGAGAAGTGCACATGTGAATTAGAAAGAATACATAGTACAGAGTAGAACTGGCATATATAAAATAATAGCACCCTAGGTATAAAACCTTCACACGACTATAAGTGAAGTAAATTGATTGAGTACTTAATTAAAAAGGTGACAAGATCTTCACTAAACCTTTGCCAATTGTTGGGTCTGAATGATGTTTATGCATCTCTGAAATACAGGCTCCGCAAATGAAGAGAATCCAGTACCCAATGCCTGAAATTAACACGTTGTTTCAGTTCATCTATGAGTTTTATTTATTATTACTAATTTAGCTACATATGATTCACGTCACAAAATACAGAAAAAAAGCTAACTAAGAAATTTAAAAAGAGTATATAAATAGTAGTCTAAGTGAAAAGCTTATATGATTAAATTGATGAAACATTTTAAATTACAAGAAAACAAAACAAAATAAAATAAAATAAAGCACAAACAAGGAGATTATTCTGATAAGAAAGTTTAGATTTGAGGTTCAAGAAATCTGAGAGAGAGAATATTAGTACAAGTGACTATGGTAGACAAATGGTGCCAAAAAGAAAGAAAAAAAAGTGAAAGCGAAAAGAAAGGCAGGCAAAACCCCACTCATAAGACATATTCATGGACAGATTAAGTTAAAAAGAATGAGAGAAGTTAAAATAGAAAGAAACAAAATAAAGATGAAGAATGGAGTTAGAAAGAAACGAAAAAGATGAAAAAAAATGAGAGGGGGCAAAGTGAAAGTAAGAAAAAAAAATGAGGAGCAAAGCACCAAAAGGTGCGCAGTTGACGACGAAGGGTGAATAGAATAGTCTACCTTAAGGGTTATTTGCACGTATTAAATTGCAATTGACGTTTTTATAACATAGATAATGAATAAAAAAGAAAGAATACAAGAAAAATCTTGGAAATTTAACAAGAAAAAGGGTTATTTTCACAAATAGTCTTTGATAATAAATTTACTATTTTTAGACCAAATGTAACATGAGTAAAGCATAACGAGTTAGGGTTTTATGAGAGATTAAACTAGTAAAAGAAACAAATAGATCCATAAAAAGAAAAAGAAAAAAAAAAAAAAGATTTAGACTGGTGACACATTTTGAACTTTTATTTCAGATACTGCTTTTCCCTCAAAACTTATTTTTTTATTACTTTGTCCTTTTGAAATGCTTACATACCATTATTGAGTTAGATTCATTCTGAAAATAGATGGTTTATTAATTAAGGAGTGAAAAATTAATATTTCATTAACCATGTAAAATTTTGATTTAGTTTTTCGGTTCAAAGAAACCCAAAACCGCGCACACAAATAACTCGATACCCATGGAAAGAATAAACAGTGAAACAATAAAATAACTCGATACACATAACCATAATTCAAGTCATAATTGATCATAATTAAAGAGATTATTCCAGTGAGAGTAACATATACCTGTGATATAGACGTAAAGCACTCAAGCAGTGGGAATAGATCTTTGTCTGCATTTGAAAGTTGTTGCCACTTTGCGATCAATGGTGGCATCAAAATATCAAGATAAGCAGGCTGAAAAGCATCACGAAGTCAATTGGAAGAGATATGTAGTTGTCAGAAATGCAGCATTAAAAAAAAAAAAAAACAATAAAGTTTGTAGCTTTGCGGTGAACAATTTAACTATACTGAAGAGGAAAGTAGGGCCAGAGGAAACTATTGGGGTAGTAATCTTTGGCATATTAAAGATACCTGATTTAGCTCTTCACCAACAGCATCGGCCAGAGTTCCAATAGCATCATATACAATTCTGAGGTTCCGCCTCTGAAATTACAGATAATGTTATGAGAACAGTGCCAGAGTGATATAATATGCATAAAAGAAGGTGACATCCATCTCTTGCATATGAAGCAGAAATCTTACTAAAAGTCTAAAAGAGAAAAGAGGAAACAGTGCAAAACAATGAAAACATATATGATGGGTTAATAACCAGTGTTGCACTGCATCTGGTCAATAACGATATAAAATTCAAGAAAATGGACAAGGCAAAGAAAAAACCTGATATTTTCCAAAAGCACACATGAGGTGCTGCAAAATTATCTCTAATCTTGGTGCCAACTCTTCTGCAGCCTCCTGCAAATTAATAAAGACTAATTTAGATCTAAAAACTCTCTTATCCCATAAATTAAATAATAGAACAGCATTTCATGAAAGAATTGAACTTCATTTATAGGAAGAACCTCTTCAAGTGTAGCAAAGGCAGAACAAGCGGCCTCTTGAACCCGCTTGTTGGTATCCAATATTCTTCTTAACAGGCCCATGAGAACACTGTCAAATTGCTCATAACCTTGTTGATGCCCAACACCCTGAGAGACAAGAAAGATTGTTTTCAACTACAAGTCGATCATCACCATAAGAATGAATAAAAAAGTCTAATGAATGAACAAGAAAATGGAAACACAGGTAATTGTACCTGAACAATGAACTTACTGAAACGAGAAATTGTCCAGCAAGAAATACTCCGAATGAGAGGAAACTTATCATCTAATAAGGGGATTAGAAATGAAATAATCTGTGGAACGTCAAAAAAAGCTCATGTCAATCGTTAGGCATTTCAAATAAGCAAAATAACCAAAAGAAGTATACAGCGTAAATATTTTTTATGTTCTGCCCACAAAAGCATGAAAACTAAATCATCAGCTTTTCAAAGTAGATAATAGCTATTAACTTGAGCTTTTTCTAGAAGAAGAAGAGGAAAGAAATTACTGCAATGTAGTAAATATAATGCATTACCAAGAGGAAATGGATATGCAATAGTTCAACCCAATCAATACCAAAGTTAATAAGGTTAGAGGCTAAATCTCAAAATACATATTTCCATTATAGAAAAAAATAAAAAAAATAAAAAAAAACGGGGAAAAGATGAGCAACAAGCCAAGAAAGAAAGCATGTCAATGAACCAAAGCATTGAAAGGCTTCACTGACCAAATTGGTGAATACGGAAAACATATTTAAAACAGGAAAGAATCATACTTCATAATGATATCAGTTGCTTCCAAGCTTAAAAGGGAAGGAGAACACGGAACAACAAAGAAGAGAGGACCAAAACTCCAGCTAGAAGGAAATATTTTAATAGTACTCTCCCAATTATAAATTCATAATACAGTTAACTAAGTTCTAGAACTCCATAGTAGAGTGAAGTGCAAACCAAAAGGGAAGCCCATACCGGACTCCATCCCATAAAAAGGCTTCATCTTGGACCTCATTCCCAATTATAAATTCATAATACAGTTTTGGAACTCCATAGTAGAGTGAAGTGTGAACCGAAAGGGAAGCCCATACTAGACTCTATCCCATAAAAAGGCTTCATCTTGGACCTTATAATCTATGCTTCACGGCTTAGTCAATCAAAATTGAGACAAGAAAAAATATTACCTCAGACAAATGTGGATAAAGACCATTAATGCAACCCTCAGCTACGGCACCAAGAGCCAAAACAGCAGCTTCTCTTTCCTTCCAAGCTTCATCACCGCTAGCAGACAGGTTGGTCTGCAGAAATTTGAAAGGTCAAAACACATTAAGTACTGCTCTATAACCGGCTCCATTTGATTATTGATCCGACTCTAATTCAAAACTTGACAAATCATAAAAGGAGATAAAGTGAGATTAGGAAAGGACAGTATATCTTACTCATCAAATTTGCTTTTATATGGAATGAATCTGTTACCTGAAATAAAGGCATCAACGTTGGAAGAATCTCATCCGCGAACACATTTGAGATAACGTCAAGAGCTGCTGCACTGCATTTGCGTAGATTCCATACATTAACAATATCATCGTCCTGTCATTGACCAAGAGTCGGTAGAATATTAACAGGAAATAGAATATCAGTAGAGATTTTACTCAAATGAACTCATCTTCAAAAAATTATCTGAAAAACAAAGCAGAACGTGATTGCATGACATTATTGGGACAGAATGATGAGCCATAAATTTAAACAAGCAATGTGGGGAAGATGATGTCCAAACATACGTCATCTTCAACATTATCTGATCCATGAAGCCGTGATGAATGAAAACGAGGTTTGATATCCTGCAGTGCAAAGTACAGGCAGTGGAGGATCAGGAAACTTAATATATGAAGATTGCACTTTAGAAAGCAAAAGTCAAGTGAATTCCAATTAATTCTAGCCAAAAAGTATTTAAAGAAACGAACCTGATCGCGATCTGGGACAGATTCATCCTCCTGCGATAATGAATGAATGTAACTAAATTTATAAGCAAAAACAGCTTCCAACTTGTAATCACAAAAGCAAAAGTAGAATCAGTAAAGTTAACCTCAGCATCAATAAGCGACTCATCATCATCAGCATAGCCCATGTTTGACAGTAAAACCTACAGGAGTTATTAAGATTATATTAGAATTAAAAGCAATTTGAGCTCGCGAGTAAAGAATGAAATATAAATATCACCAAAGCACATGCTATACCGGAATTAGCCGCGGCAAGAACTCTCTTAAGTTCTCTGGTGGTAACTGAGCATCACAGTATGCAGACCTGATAAGAAAGCTCCTGAATTTGAGCTATTTGTAAACATTAGCATAATATATCTGTAGTCTAAAAGTTACAGTATTACCAGAATTCACAAGCTTCAAGAGCGACTTCATCATCGGCGTCCTTGTTCACTCGCAACATATACTCAATCACATTCTTCAGATGTGGCTGCAGTATAGATCAGAAAATCACCTCATCAACAGCAGAAGAAAGATAATATTAAACATTAAAACTAATGCCAACTCACCTCCCAGTAGCTTAAGTTTTTGAAGAAATAGTAAGAAAACATGGTATCATAGCAAGAGGTCCATTGTTCAAACCATTTTAATTGCACTCTAAGTAAATTACCATCATGTGTTAGGCCTCTAATATGTTTCAGGAATATGTCTGTGAAATTGATATTTGCCTATACGATTGACCATTGTCCAGCCCACGTAGAGGGCGAGTGTTAAAATATTGATACTACTGTTAGCCCACCTCCTTAGCTTAAGCTTTCAAGAGAAATATTAAGATAACAAATGAAAAAAAAAAAAAAAAACAGATTCAGACATATGACCTACAGTGAAAACATTCAAGGCACAATAAATAAATGAATCAGTTGAATTAAAAGGATATATAACAGACTCGCAGATATGACCTATATCACAGAATGATGCATAATAGGACGCCCACAAACATAGATAAAGATCATGTACAAGACTAGAGATACAGAAAAAACTTCCCACCTCCAAGAAAGATGGGCGGACTTCAATTAGCTGAACAAATGCTGAGCAAACCTGTTTAGGACATACAAAAAAAAGATAGATTAGAGTGTACACAAGCTTATAAAACATGAAGTTGAAGTATTCCCTTCTCCACCAATAATTGGAAAAACTAGTAAAAAATCCAAGGTGGACAACACACATAAACAAATTAATAAAAAGAAAAACGCTGGTTTCCACCTATGGGTAATATGAGACATGTATTAACATTCCTAAGTTTCCATTCTTGTAACATTGTCCTTTCAAACTGACAAAATCCTAAAAGAAAAATGAAATACAAAAAGCCATCCGAGGAAGACAAAATTTACGTTGGTCGAAGGCATTTTATAGCGACCAATGTGTTTGGACCTACTACTAGTTTCCAACAAAATCTAGCAAATAAATTATTTCATATACAACCAAATCTAGCTTGTTTTATGATTTGAACCAAAATGCAAAATTTCAGACAAAAATAGGCAAATTAGTTATTATTTACTGCAAGACAAAAACTCATATACATTAAAAAATAATAATAACGAAACTAACCAATTTCCGCACTTCTGAGGAAGAGTCATTTGCAAGGATAAACAAACCTTGAAGATATTTATCCATGGACATATATAAAGCCTGCAAGAAATTTGTTTACAATATTCAGAACACCCCAAAGAAATGAATAAAGCAATGGAGATCGGTGTTGGGTGTAATCTTTGGTAACATACTTACCGCTGGCATCAACATAATGTACTGATTTACAGAACCCAAAGAAAGCTTCCGTAATGTGGAATGTGGTGACTGAAAAAACTGCATAAAGAAAAGTGTGTAATAAAACTTGACAAGACAACATGCATATACAAGAACTGTCTTTCGGCAGAAGAAAATAATGATCATCACCTGAAATAATCTAGGAAGGAATACGTCGATGGGGCGTTCAGCTAACCCAGGTACATCTGAATCAAGCACTTGAGGAACATCCTCACAAATCTGCATTACACCACATTATATATGCGTTCAATGGTCTGATCAGTGTTTTGAAATGAAGATGCGCTAGAACACAATGTTGCTTCAATATCTATTTTTTGGGGATACCTCATCCTCTCCTACCTTGTATTGATTTAAATACCATCAATAAAGGTTCTGTTTATTATTAAATAAATTAATTAATTAAATTAAAAAAAAGAAGAATAAAGCAACAACAAAAAAATGCTACATCTCAATGAAGCATAAATGGCATAAACGCCCTTACACTACTACACTAGATTCTATAATTTCGCTTATGAATGGTGCTTTTCTTAACATTTGGGGACTCCTACAAATGGAGGAAATGAATGGCCTTAGGCCGAAACCAAAGGTATTAGCCTATGAAAATATAATCCTATAGCTACTAGAATGCACTTTAGTTCAAGATCAAGGAATCATAGTATGTAGTCCAAATGAAAAGGTGAAATTATTTACAGGTCCCGGATTCTACGTGAAGGCTTCCATTATATTCAAAAACCAAAGAAAGCTTCAAGTCTGATTCTGTACCACATTAGGATTCTATAACAGTTAGTTAGGTATTACAACCAAATGTTTCGTCACTTCCGTAGCATCATGACCCGCCCATAGCTTATGTACTACTTATGTGTTATAACTTATAATGGTTGATCATTTTACTGAATGCTTAAACACGTGCTTTCCACAAAAAGTATTACCTTGGATAAAGCATCCATAGCACCTTCCATGTGATTTAGATCATTGCTGTCTAAGCAACTCACAAGAGCTTGCAACAACTCGGGCCATCCTGAAATTCCTCCTAGTTGAACAACAACGCTTATAATCGTGCCGGCTGTAGACCTAATGTGCCTATCTGCTGCTCCTAAGCAAGGCAATAACTCTGACTTTATGTATTGCTGGTATGCAGGAACCATTGATTTATATGCAGTCCGAAGGTTATTTTTCAACAGCAGGCCTGCAGCTTGTCGAACCTCCACTGATTTATTCTATTTAAACCACAAATATCAAACAAAATGTTACTAAACAGTGAATACAGTGTTAAATCTATATTTGACAACAGAGAAAGGATTCATGATATCTTAACTACTTTATTCACTCAAACTTAACTACTTAGACGCTGAAATATGGATTTAAGCAAAGTCTCTGGATTTCAGCAGTCGGCAAAAAAATTTATACTAGCAAGTCAAATTTCTAACCACATAAACGGCTGCCAAATATTGACCTAATAAACTACTTGTAGAGATTCACTCTTTTCAATGAAACATTTGAACGGGAATAGCATCAAGAAATGGGGCATCTGATGGGACTTAATTACAAATAAATATACAAATTGCAGTGGCCCCAACTTTTTAAATTTCTTAAGGTCAATATAATAGGATTATAGATTGGATTATAGATAAAATATGCCCGGAACCACACAAATTCAATCAGGCATCAGGTTAATGGACCTCCAATTAGAACCAAACTCATGTTGATATAAATACTATCTATAGGCATATGACAAGAAAAGAACTTGTGGACAAACAATAATGTGTGTCAACGACACTATTTGTGACATTTTAAAAGCTCCAAGACAGAGTAAACTAAAATCAATTTCATCAGCCTAAGCTTCTTCTCAAAAGTGGATCACACAAAAAACAATCTAAACTTTCCACTAACCCAAAAAAACCAACCACAGGCAAATTCCAAGTAACGAGACCACAATCTGTAGTAAATTCCCCATATCCCCAACCACCAAAAGCTTCAATTAATCCAGAAATAGGATCATTTCAACGCCACTAATAAGCCTCAGATTTCTCGAGAAACAAAATGATCGAAATAAACCTAATTTCCCCAACCAAGAAACTCCATAAGAATTCAAAACTTCCCAATAGGCATAAACAACATCGAACAGGAATCGAAATTACAATATAAACAGTCTTTTTCTCCGACACTACAAGTAGAGAGAATCGGAGTACCTCGGCGCGAGCGAGAATGAAAGCGAGATAGTTGTTGAAATCGGGGAACTGAGAGTAGTGCTGAAGCTGCTGCCATATCTGAGACTTGTCAGCGGAAGAAGAGGAGTGGGAAATCTGCTGCTCCAAAAGCCCGCAGATCTCATTGAATCCTTCTTCCTTGGGCTGCCACTGGGCACTCGCCGCCATAGCTACCAAAAGATTCCCTTTTTTTGCTATAAGTATATATGTATCTATGTATGTATATATGTGTATCTATAACCTTCTTCTTTGATTGGAGGTTATGGGATTCGAAGGTTTTGACAGGGTTTTTGCAGGAGCGAGAAACCCAGGGAGAGAGAAAAAGAAAGAGAGAGAGAGAGAGGTTTTGGACTTTTGGTGGGCGGAGGAGAGGCGAATAAGGCGATCTCTCCCTAGTTAAATATTTAAACGAATAAATAAAAGGTAAGAAAAACACCAGCAAAATAAATTAAAAAATAAAATAAACAAAAGAAAGAAAAATAAAAGACGAAATTTGTTTGCAGTTTGCACTTGGCAAGATAAAAACTTGGGAGAGATTTTTGGGATTTTCTATTTCGTGGGCTGGGGTGGTGCCGTGGGGGTGATGTTTTGAGCTGTTGCCAAAGTGCTTCTACTGGGATGCTCTATGGGACCAAATGATTCCAACTATTTTCTACATTTTCTTTTTTTCTTTTATAGGGGTATAATTTTTGGTTTTTCTTCACGTTTGTGTCAACTATGAGAGATAGAGTCTTTTTTTATATGTATTTTAAGAGCGAATTTCATCAAAAGTGTTTTTGGACTTGCAATTTTGTGCAAATAGCTATGAAAAAAAAGCAACACAATAACTTGGTATATTTGCCTCGGATTATTTTGGGAAAAAAAAATTTTGATGACATTAACAAACTAATCTCCCTCACTCGAATCCGTTTGTTACTGCTCTTGTTATAGGAAATCCGGAAATGTAGTCGTCCACTTCTTAATTAGTTATGTCTTTTCTTTTTATCTCGTTATGAAAAATTTATAATGAAAATATAATCGTCCACTTTTAGTTAGTCATGTCTTTTCTCTTCATCTCGTTATGAAAAACACGTAATGAAAATGTAATGAAAATATAGTCGGCCACTTCTTAAGTTTTTTTTTTTTTCTCATTGTATTAGTTCTTTTGTACATGAAGAGACTTCTAAGTTATTGAATGAATTTCACTCAGCTTAAAAAATAAAAAATAAAAAAATTGCATCCACTTCAACATGAAAAATCAGAGTTGATGACATTAACCAACTTATCTCCCTCGCTCAAAGTTGTTTGCTACTCCTCCCGTTATGGGAAACCTGTAATGGAAATGTAGTTGTCCATATCTGTTTATGCCTTTTCTCTTCCTCTGCTTATGGAAAACCGTAACGGAAATGTAATCATCCACTTCTTTGCTAGTTTTTGTTTTTTTTTTTCTCATTTTATTGTTTCTTTTGTACATGAGGAGGCTTTTAAGTTGTCGAATGAATTTCACTCTCATAAACAATAAATAATTAAAAAAAATCGCCGTCTGTTATATTGTGCAATTATTTGCATACACTATCAATTATTTGTTTGCTAATTGAAGAAAGATTGATTGTGTATTTTATGTCCCTGGACTCTTTTAGCTAAGGGCATGACTTAATCTACCACCGATTATTAATAAGGACACATTTGTTAAGTATCCTCTATATATTCACTCAAACTTTGAGTCTCCATTATCGCAGAAGGTTGTCCAGCTCCCAGCTCTTTTGGGCTTATGTTTTCATCATGGATTTAAACAATTTGGTTTATACATTAAAATTTGAACAAAAATTCAAGACCTCATTCAGTTTGTTAATTTAAGGAGATATAATTTTATATGAGAGTATTTTTAACTGTAACAGAAAAAATTAGATGTTACTTTTTGTGAAAAATTAAAATTAAAAACTTAAATCAGTGAAATGAACGAGGCTAAAATTTCACGAAAGAAACTACCATTGAAAAATATATATAAATTGTGGAACAAGTAAATTTATACACAACCGCAACACAAAGAACACCTTTAGGTCTCATTCTTTTTATCCGTTCGAGTTTTCAATTTTAAATTTTTACAGTTAAAAATTCTTAAAAAATATTAAATATATATATTTTTTGTTATAATTAAAAACTTTTATAAAATATTATATTTCAACTTAAATTAAAAATTCAAATTCATAACAACACCTACCTTACTTTAGTTTAGTTTTATGTTGCAGTTACCAAGGTGGGTGACAGCTATTGCTACGGACGTGGACAGTAATGCATTGCAGAATATGCTGATTAATTTTGCAATAATTTATCTATCATCTCATTTTCCTACCCTATCTGAATATAGGTATTAAGCATAAGCTCATTGGTTAAATATAATTGACACATACGTACACTGAAAAATATTGCTCCAATTATTTTCATTATAAAAGATAAAAATGAAAGGACTCATTTTTTTTTTCTTTTTATATTTGGACCTTTTTTCAATCAGATTTTTTTTTATTGATTTGATAAATTTTTAACTGTTAAATCTTATTAAAATTATATTAGATTAAAAAAATATATAAAACAAATAATTTTTAATTAAAATTTAACGACTAAAAATAAAAACTCACCCGTAATTCACTTTTTATTATCTTACAAGAGAAATTCTTTTTCAGGATACATTTTTTTTTATGACATAAAAGAAATTGCTCTCTTTGTCCTTTTTCCCCCTCTTGGCCAAAACAAAGACACCATAGTGGTAATGTACAAGATTCGGAAGTTTATGAAAATTGTCACTACTAAAATGGTATAACAGACCATCTCCAAGTAAACGAACCATCTCTCCAATGCTTTTTTTTTTTTTTCAAGACTATTCAGAGTAATGTTACAGTAAAATTAACAAAACCAAAGGTCTGGAAACCCAATGGCTGAGCATGCGTTACAAAGCTGATAACTTTCAAGTTTCAACCACCACGCCAATTCATTGGGGTGAGAGTGATACAAAGATTTCAGTTCCCCAATCGGCCTTTCCATGCAACTATGAAAGCATATTAATCCTCAATCACGCAAAGGACAAATAATACCTCCAACACCATCACGTGCACAAACCTGAAACATATAAATTCTGAGAAAATGCTGAAACAAAAATAATACACTGAACAGCCAAAAAAAAAAAAGTCCTTTCTCGATTAAAAAATATCTAAAATGGGCTGTTATTTCAGCAGAAGGTATAAGGTCACATGTATTTAAGTCCTGGTCATGTGTAGTGCCTCTTGTTTGAGAGTGCTTGTCAAGCACCTTGAACAAGTAGTTGCAGGTACATTCTACTTAGCAAATATAATTAAAGAATACAAGCACAGATCGAAGTAAGAACAATAAGCATACTATCATCACAGATCTTACATTATCCGAATAGGAATTCAGACGATCGCACGCATGCCATGAGGTGATTTCCTTTTGATGATGCTTTTACTTCTCATTTCTCTGCTTTTCTGCAGCCTGTTCAACAGCAAAGATCACAAATAAGGAAGTGGAAATAGAAATGAATCTTGAACTATGAACCGCCACTAAAAGAAAGAATGAAAAGAAGGTAAAGACTATGCAATAAGGGGAAAAAATCGTTTAAACATTTATCTCTAAAATTACACCTTCGTCAAGGAAATCCAAAGAAACGACAGACAACAATGCTAATAAAACATTGAAAATCAAGTACGATTTGCAAAGTCAAACCATTTTCATTTTTTCCAGAACAGCATCCTCAAACGCTTGATAGCCAACTCCACCCACATGATCATCGCGTTCGGGCGACTTCTGGATAATTGGAACCTCTGCCGCTCTAGCTGGTTGGAGAGGTAAAACCAGCAATGGGTTGGAAAGATTGCCGCACAATGTGCCTGTAGCAGCAACCTACAAGCCATAACACACAACATAAGTAATTACAAAATAACAGCCGAAGAGATTCAAATTTTCTGAGAACAAAATTGTATAAGAGATTAAACTCACAGCTGCATCTTTATTGGCCATTACAACAATAGCCGAGCCTCTCTTCTTGTTCTTAATGACAACATCTTCGACGTCACCAAATCTTGAGAACTCCTCCCTCAACCTCTCCGCTGTGTAACCCTCGCCAACTTTCTCCCAAGACACCTTAAGTATCCTCTCCTTATCCAATTTTACCGCACCGATACTTTCACTCTCTTTACCAACTTTCCCGTTCTCCATCTTCGGAACCGAAGCAGCAGCTGCCCCTTTATTTGCATGCATTGCACGTATCCTCACAATCTCCTCCTTAAGCTTCTTAGCAATTCTTTCCTCTTCCTCTCGTTCTCTTGCAGCAGGGTCAGGAGCAAATGCAGCCCTCTCTCTTTCTTCAAGATCAGACACCATCTTCCTTTTCCTGGCATCGCGTTCAGAGTGACGGCGTTGCTGCTCCCGCTTAACCTTCAAGAGATCATCAAACAATTTTCTGGCTTTCTCATCCTTGAGTATCTCATATGAGGTTTTTAGCCTTTGAAAGTTCTCATGTGCATTTGGATCGTCCGGCCTCTTGTCTGGGTGTAACTCCAAAGCCTTTATCCTATACGCCTTTGAAATCTCTTTCTCAGTAAGCTTGGCACCTTCTTCACCAGAAGGTAACCCAAGAACGCTGTAGTGATCCACGTCAATATCCATATCTAATGCTGCAAATGAAAAGAGTCTAAACTAGCTCAGCAAATAAGTCATCTCAATGCCATTAAAAGAGTTACGAATAAGCTTGAACTACATGCATATTTGATTATAGAATCCAAAAATATGTAGCTCACACATTGATCAATTCAGGGAAAACAATTATAAATACCCTTTTTCCCCTTAACTCTCTAACTCATGGTAATAACCAACTGTTAAAAGAGAGAGAAAGAGAGAGAGAGAGAGAGAGAGAGAGAGAGAACACACACACTGACACACATAATTGCAATATTACATGTGTTGATTTTGGCCATTCTCCTTAGTAAGTTATAATTTCTAAAATACCACTTGGTAAAACAGATTCTTATGTTCGTTCCACAACAATAATCCAATTCCCAAAGGACTCTTCTCTCTCTCTCCTCTAATAAAGCAAACGGATTAAGGGAATAATATGTTCAGAAAGTAAAACAGATTCTTATGTTCGTTCCACAACAATAATCCAATACTACTTTTTTTGAGAATAGAAACTGCGTCCTTTTCTTACTAATCAAGGACACAAACACAATTTACTTCTTGAATACTTGATGACTTCATTGGCAGGATATTATTCCTTTACTTAAGGATTCATCGTTTTCTCCAAGACCCACATTTTCAGCCAATTATCCGATTGGTTGATTATTTACTTCAGTCATAGTACATGTAAAAAGCAGGCACCAAGACGATAATCGGCGACAATGCGTGCACCGCCTTCATCCTCGCCGATTGCAATTGAGAATTGCTTTTGCAGATGATAGAGAAGAAGAGGAAGAGAAAGAGAGGGAAAGGGAGAGTAACGGTCCACTCAGACCACAAAAACTAAATTTGGTAACCAACCCAATCTAGTTACCAAACAAAGAAAGAGGAACATAATCCTAATCTATACAGATCATTAAAAACCATTCGCATAGTGCTTAATCCAAACATTAAATTTATAACATATTTTGGTCAGTATCGATACTACTATTATAGTGTAGACATAAAGTAGTCAGGACAACATAAAAGAAACCGTAGAAGTTTAATACTTTCTAAAGTAACAGGATGATAATTGATACATTGTTTTAAAACAATAATCAAATTATGCAAAGTAGTACCATACTCTAATTGAAATGCAAACAAATTCTTAAAATAAAGCAAAATATGAATAAGCGATGACTCAAACAGAGAGGATCCAATAAGTGATTAAAGGCAATGCTATGCTAGAACCGCACAGAATCACTTCCAATCAAGGGAGATCAAAGATATCACTCAGTACCAAACAAGAGTTGAACACAACTTTCAAGGTGGGAGGTTCGTTGAACTCGTTGATTGAAAGGTAAAGTAGCATATTTTCCATTAGGCAGAAGCAGAACAGAAGACAAAATTGATTTGATTTCGACGACAGATAAACCACCACAAAGGTTATAAGAAAGAAAACGGTTTACAAAGGATTCAAATATGGAAGAATGTCGATGTTTTCAATTAGGGTTACATAATAATATGATAGAAATCAAATTGGAAATCAAATAGAAATTGAAAGAAACAAATGACCTTTGATTCGAGAGTTAGGTCACACCTCTCCAATAATCTCTAATCTACTGCTAATACTTTCCAAAACATGCATGAGAAACCCTAATCTTCCCCTAACAACCTTCTTAAACTCAGTCTCCCACTAATGACCTTGTCAATTTACCAAACTGCCCCGGTTCTTAAACCTACGCCTATAATACGTTTTCAGCCCCTCCCTTCCAAGTCTAACATTACTCCCCTCCCAATGAGACACCTTGTCCTCAAGGTGGAACCAAGGAAATTGCTCCCGAATCAAGTCAAACGGCACCTCCCTTCCGCCCGACGTTCCTTGACGGACCCCGTCCATTGCCTATGGTTCCAAGACGACCTCCATGTCCTCAGTCAAAGTAGGCGGCAATGAAGGTGAGGAAGCATGATCTCCAATAGCACGTCTCAACTGGGACACATGAAACACCAGATGAATGGCCGACGTAGGTGGTAATCGCAAACGATATGCCACCTCACCAATGCGCTATGTGATCTCAAACGGCCCAAAGTACCGAGCAGAAAGCTTCTCATTCCTCTGTCATGCTAACGTCTTCTGTCGGTATGGTCGGAGCTTCAAATAAACTCGATCCCCCACCTCAAACTAGACATCCCTCCTATGTCCATCTGCTTGCTGCTTCATAATCTGTTGAGCTTTTAATAAATGTTTCTTCAACTCATCCAACATCCGATCTCGTTCCTCCAAATATTGATCCACCTGCGACACTGGCGTGGTGCGGTGCCCATAGTGCACCAAATGTGGTGGATCCCGCCCATACAGGATCTTAAAGGGGGTAGTCTGTGCCGCCCTATGATAAGAGGTGTTATACCAATACTCCGCCCATGCCAACCACCTCGCCCAATGCTTGGGTGTGTCAGATACAAAACACCTTAAATATGTCTCCACACTCCGATTAACGACCTCCGATTGGTCATCGGTCTGCGGGTGATAAGCAGTACTTCTCTTCAGAATGGTCCCCTGCATCCGAAACAACTCCCTCCAAAAGTGACTCAAAAAGATCTTGTCCCGGTCCGACACTATCGATTCCAGAACACCATGTAGTCGCACAACCCTTCTCATAAACGCCGCTGCTACAGACACTGCCGTATACTTGTGACGTTGACACACATCACACCGCGCAACCATGTCCTCCACATCCTTTTTCATCCCTACCCAATATAGCTCTGCCGCCAACCGTCGATATGTCTTGAGAACACCTGAATGCCCACCAATAGCACTTCCATTAAATTCTTGTAGTAATCTCGGTATGTGAATAGAAGTCCGTGGTAGAACAAATCGTCCATTGTACAACAGATGTTGGCCATCCAACGCATAACCGGGTGGCCTTGCCCCTCCCCTCAGCAAGGCCGCTCGTATCTTCCCCAACTCCTCATCGGCCTCGCTTTCCTGCCGTAAAGCCTCCCAATCCAACACCAACGGAACTGACAACGCCGACAACTGAGGCTCCTCAAGCCTCCTTGATAGGGCGTCTGCCGCCTTATTTTCCAACCCAGGGCGGTATTGTATCTCAAAATCATAACCCAACAACTTCGAAAGCCAACGCTGATGTTCCTCCGTCACCATACGCTACTCCAGCAGAAATTTTAAACTACGCTGATCCATACGAACTATGAAACGCCGTCCCAGTAAATAAGGTCGCCACTTCTGAATAGAGAGCACGATCGCCATGAGTTCACGCTCATACACCGATTTGAGTCGCGCTCTAGCTGTTAACACCTGACTGAAATAGGCGACTAGTCGCTGGTTCTGCATGAGTACTGCACCCAAACCATACCCTGAAGCATCAGTTTCAACTACAAATGGTTGGCTAAAGTCTGGTAAGGCCAACACGGGAACGCTAGTCATCGCTTTCTTCAACTGCTCAAAGGCCTGAGTCGCTGCCTCCCCCCACTAAAAACTATCTTTCTTCAATTGTTCTGCCAAAGGCCACGCAATCGAACTATATCCCCTGACGAACTTCCGATAGTACCCTGTGAGCCCAAGAAACCCCCTCAACTCCTTCAACGTCTTAGGTAATGGCCATTCCCGCATTGTCGCAACCTTAGATGGGTCTGCCGCAACTCCCTCTGCCGACACTGCGTGCACTAAATATTCTACCCTCGTTTGAGCAAACAGGCATTTCTTTCGATTAGCATAGAGCTGTTGGCTTCGTAACTCAGTCAACACCCTCTCCAAATGGCGGACATAATCTTCCAATGTGCTACTATAAACCAGGATGTCATCAAAAAATACCAAAACAAACTTACGCAAATAGGGTTGGAAGACTTTATTCATCAACGACTAAAAAGTGGCTGGGGCATTGGTGAGGCCAAACGGCATGACTAGGAATTCATAATGACCCTCATGGGTCCGAAATGCAGTCTTTTGCACATCCTCACACCGCATTCGAATCTGATGATCCCCGACTTCAGATCGTTCGTAAACACCGTCACTCCATACAACTCGTCTAACAACTCATCAATCACCAGAATCGGAAACTTATCCAACACCGTTTCCTTATTCAATGCCCGATAGTCGACACAGAATCTCCAACTCCCATTTTTTTTCTTCACTAATAAAATAGGGCTCGAAAACGGGCTCACACTCGGTGTATTATTCCTGCCTCTCTTCACTAATAAAATAGGGCTCGAAAACGGGCTCACACTCGGCTGTATTATTCTTGCCTCCAACATCTCGTTGACCAATCTCTCGATCTCATCTTTCTGTACCTATGGGTAGCGATACGGCCGTACACTCACTGGTGATACCCCTTCCTTCAACACAATCGCGTGCTCATGCTCCCGCTTCAGGGGTAACCATTTGGGCATTTGGAAGACATCCTCAAACTGTTCCAACAGTTGCTGAACTGACTTGGTAACACTCGTCGTCGCCTCATTCCGCTCTCCTTCCATGATATGCAACTCAACCAAGAAACCGAGCCCACCATCCTGAATCGCCTTAACCATGGTTTTGAGGGTCACTAGGGTTTTGCACAAAACTTGGATCTCCGCGAAGCACCACAATGTGACCTCCCTCTTGAAACTCTATTGTCAAAAGCTTCCAATTTACCCTCGTCTCACCCAATGACTGCAACCACTTCATTCCCAGAATGATGTCTGTGCTACCCAAATCCAAAGGAAGAAAATCTTCTAACACTTGAATTCCTTGGAGCGTTAAAATCAGCCCTCTACAAATTCCTCTACTCCTCTCCATGGTACCATTACCCATGACCACCCCAAGATTGCCGTTGTTGACTAACCAAAGTCCTAACCTCTCCACCACTCGATTGGAGATGAAATTATGAGTCGCTCCACTATCCACCAACACCACCACAAACTGCTCTCCAATTTTTCCAACCAACTTCACAGTGTGGTTTGGTGTGAACCCCACCACCGAGTTGAGCGAGACCTCCGCCACATCCAAATGAGGATGCTCCTCCTCCTTTATCACATCTCCTATAG